ACTGTGGCAATTGATGCATTGAATTTCTGGGGATTTATGTCAGGAAACGTCGATGATTAAACAGGTGGACCCCTTGTTCCATGTGACTATTGCAGTAGTGTTCTGGCGCATCCTATTTCTTATTGCCTACCCCTGTTTCCTTATGCCAATAGGACACTGTCACATTCGTTGATGAAGCATCAAATGAGTGCGATTTTGTTCTATTTTGGTGGACGTATCCCAGCTGTCCGTTTCTGTGTTTGCGCAGCAATGGGGGAGGCAAAACTGCCTTACAGCCTCTGCGCAGTCAACCAAGCCAAAGGGCAGCGCCTGGCTGAGCGAGGCTGCACCCCAGCACTGTGTGCCCCCTGAGCAACATGACACAGCACTTCACAACCAACAACGCAGAGAGCAGGTCAAAAAGGGATATGTCCAAGACTGGGAGGACTTGCAGTTCGTCATCTCTGAATGGGAACCTGGGGCTGTCTCCACCCCTGATAGTCTTATGCCATTGTTCCTAGCAGCTTCTCGTCTGGCCCAGCTGCCAGGCAGGGAGGCATGCACTGTGGTAATGGATAGGTTGATATCAGAAGCAAAGAAAGTCCTGACAAGCATTGATCCAGGGAGCTTGGCCATGATAATGTATGCGTGTGGAAAAGTTGGCCACAGAGATCTGGAGTTTCTGGACCAGATAGGCCAGCAGGTGTTGCAGATTGGCGACTTGAGTGTGTTTGAATCTAGGCACATAGCACTGATGGTTTACAGCTTGGGCAGCTTGCTGCACTCAGCCCAAAGGGAGTTTTCAAAGGTGAAAGGATCAAAGCCTGTGAGTTTCCTTTGCAAGGATGAGTTGCTGGAAGCGCTAGTGCAAGAGCTGCTTTCACCGTCCCGTGCAGATGGCCTGGCAGAGCAGGACTTGGCGAATAGTCTGCATGGACTTGCACAATTGGAGTATGGAGACAAGTCGATGGTTGGAAAACTATTGGAAGAGGCTGCCAGACCTGAGCACTTGACACGCTTCCTCGAGCAGGAGCTCACCACCATTATCAAGGCTGTGGGGTGCCTGGGTCTTTTTGGCCATGCTACAGTGACCCTGCTGGTACATGAGGCATGTGTTCAAGAAAGACTGGCCAGATATAAGGCAATGGAACTGGCTTCCATGTTCTACAGCTTCGGTCGGTACAGATTGGAGGATCGGGCACCAATTGCTGCCCTTGCCAGAGAAGTATCCAGACCTGACAGGATGGCTGCCTTTGAAGAGTACCAGTTGTCAAATGTTATCTATGCCTTGGATCAGACAAGATGCACTGACAGCAGAATTGTTGTCAGCCTGGCCAGAGAAGCGGCACGTAGTGACCGGCTCAGAAATTTTGAGAACCGGCATCTGGCAAATTTGATATACAGTCTGGGGAGGCTGGAGTTGGAAGACTGCGATGTGGCTGAGGCCCTGGTGGCTGAGGTGCTTCAATCTGGGAGGATTGCAAGGCTGGATGCCAAGCATTTGTCGCTTGTAGTCTTTGGGCTAGCTCATTTGCCTGTTGGGAATAAGGCAAGCCATGCCAGGGCATTGTGCAGGCAGATATGTAGGCCAAGGAGGCTCCAGCAGTTCACGAACGAACAGATGTACAACGTAGTTCATTCACTACTGCAAATGGGGTTCAAGGCCCCGAGGCTCCTTAACGGCATCATGCAGCGTGTGTCGTCACAGGACAGCCTGGTTGCTTTACACCCAAACCGCTTGGCCATGTTCGTGTACATGTTTGCAAGATTGCACATGCAACCCTCCCCTGCTCTGTATGACATTCTTTATGACGTGACCAGGCCACAGCAGTTGCAGTTGGTCTCTCGACGGCCTCTGGTCCTGCTGGCATATGGTGTGGGCAGACTCGGGGTTCTGATTCAACAGCTTGCTCAGCGACTTGGGAACGAGCTGTTCAAACCTGAGCGCTTGGCATCCCTGTCTGGGAGGGAAGTGGGGATCCTGGTCTACAGCCTGGGGCGTATGAAGCACAGAAGGGACGACCTGTTGGCCGCCCTGCTGCACAAGCTGTTGGATCCGGGTTGTTTGGCAGGCTTGAGCACCCAGAGCTTATCAAACCTTTTGCATGGCCTTGGGCTGCTGAAGTACGTACCAGATGACTCAGTACTGAGGCCCCTTTCTCTGGAACTGGCAAAAGAGGAGAGAATTTGCACTTACTCGTGTCAGGAGATGGCCAACATTGTGACTGCCTTCGGGAAGCTAAAATTCCAACACTGGGTTGGGTGGATTGATGTTGTGGAACCATTGGTCACAGAAGTGGTGCGCCCTGAGCGCCTTGTCGAGTTCAATGAGCACGAGTTGTCATCCTTGCTCCAGGGCCTGTCGTGGCTGAGATACTACGATGGGAATGCAATTGCTGGCCTGACGGAAGAGGTCACGCGTCCAGATCGCATCTTAGGCCTGGATGGGAAGGGAATCGCCACTGCCCTATATGCACTGGGACAGATGGGCACAAGCCCTCCAGGTGTGGTTGCCAAACTGCTGGCAGAAGCTCTGAAGAAGCCGAGGCTTTCGAGCTTCCAGGCTGTTGAGCTGTCGACCCTCCTGTACAGCCTGGGAAAGCTCAGGCACCCTGACGCACAGGCGGTGGAGGCACTTGCAGAGGAGATCTTGCAGCCCGGCAAGTTTTTAAGCCTGACGGAACAACACCTTGCCAACATCCTGTACGGTCTTGTGGAGACCCATTGTCTGCACAAGCCGTTGCTCGCAGAGCTTCTGCGTGAGATCTCTCAAGACAGGAGGGCATCCATGTTTCTACCAATCGAGTTGCTGAGCATCCTGCGCAGTCTCGATTCTCTGCAGAATCTTATGACCGACAGCGAAGGCGAGGAAACCGGTGATACCTTGGATCTGCTTAAGGCTGCAGTGGGGCCATTGTCCCAGGAGATCATCCGGCCTCACAAGCTTAGCAGCACGGCAGCACGGCAGCTCTGCCAGGCAGTGCACCATCTTGTGAACCTTGGCCACCGACACCCCAAAACAGTGCTCACCATTCTGAGACACCTGACAAGTGCAGAAGACGGGGACATGGCAAGTCGCGGCGGCCTCTCCATCACTGACGTTGCCAACCTGGTGTTCTCGTTGGGCCCCGTGGGCCAGGCAGATACCAGAGCCCTCCCGGCTCTGGCGTACCATGCCTCGACCCTTGCCCGGGCGAAGGTAACGAAAGTTGAACTGAGAAAGCTTCCCAATACGGGGTTCTGCCACCTGATGATTGGCTTTTCAATCTTGGGCATCGACGATGCATCCCTGCTGGACATCCTAGCAGCAGAGACTGTTCGAGCGGGCAGGCTGTCTTCCCTCAGGACATGGGCCTTGTGCAGGGTTGTGCATGCGTTTGCCACGCTCAAGTACGAACACTCGGGAGTGCTGAAGGTGCTGGTTTCTGAGCTGCTGCGCTCTGACAGAGCGGAAAAGCTGGACTGTGACCATTTGTTGGATGTGAGAAACGCAGTTTGCAAACTGAACTCGTTGGACAGGAAATCGAGGTGTGCACTGGACCAGAGGTTGAGGGCATTGAAAGAGGTTTGATATTTTACTTTCTCTGTGTGCACGCGGAATCATGTGCCAGCGTTTCTGCAGGCACAAGTCAGCCAAGAAACGATTATAGAGCGTATTGTGCGTTTGCAGCCCGTGTTTTCTGGTTTGTTTGCACCCCTTTTGCTTCAAGGCTGCATCTGCAGCTCGTGTTGTGAGCATTGGCCGCTCCGGTCTGGAAGAATTTGATTCTTGCGAGTTTGCAAACATGTTTTTTGACCCTAAAACGCAAAACACCTAATTTATACCCTAAACCTAGACCTATAATCTATAACCTATGTACCCACAACTTATTAAGACGGGTTGCAGCCACTCAAAACATTGGCAATCAAGGAACGTGCTTCGGACGGCCCAATAACCTGGCTGTCGATGTGCGTGTGGAAACAGGCTGGAAGGTCACAGAAACGGTTGCCAAAACATTTGTTTCAGTGATTATGTGAACATCATTGTGTGGTCACAAGAAATCACTGTGTGGAGAGCACCAAAGGGTCGGCTCATGACGACATTTTGTGGATTGAAAAGCTGTGGAGTCTGAAGAACGAGTCCTTGGAACAAAGCACACAATTTCAGTACGGGGTGCGGGGGCCGTCGATTAGTGGGGCAGGGGAGGGGAGGGGAGGGGAGGGGAGGGGAGAGCATGAGCCAGAAGGGAACCTCAGGCAGCCCACAATTGTCTGATTTTACGCAAATTCACAGAACGCTGATCGTCCACCTTCAGGGCGGCGAAGCGTGGAATGACAAATTCTCTAAAATGGTGTTGGTGCATGGGAACATTATGGGGGCAGATTATATGGAAAGGGATTCGCTTGGCAATGGGAACCGCGGGAGTCGGGATGCAGTGTTGCAGGGCGACACGCTGTGACTTGACCAGCCATGAATGGTTCCCACTGAGAAATCAACAGTGATTGCATGCAAGCCAGAAGATGACTTTTGTTAACACGGTGAGTGAGAAGGCGGCCGGTTGGAGAGACAGCTGAGATTTGTGCGACGCCGGCTGGGCCAGATTGTATGCAGATTGCAATGCACATCTGCAACGCACATTTTGCATCTATTGCGGAGAGTGCCCACCACCCAGAGCCTTCATGAGAAACCGTACAGCGTGCACGAACTCACCACGGCATATCGCCCTCCGTCACGTCGGTCACAGGCAAACGCACAAAGCTTCTTGTCGGCCAAATGCAATCCACGCACACATTGCTGACAGCAACGGTAGGCAACTCGTCACTCTCATCAGAAACAATGGAGCGAGCATCCACATTGGTGTCGCTGCACACACCCAACACACTCATTCTGTGGGAATATGACGCACTACAAATGCAATGCTGCATGTTCCTTCTACTTGACAGCCACTGTCTACAGAATTCCACGCTGATCTGTCATTCTCCATCCCCACGAGGGCGTGTGTAGACTGGCCTGGAAGGATGCGTATCCCGGACACACTGCATCAGTGGCCCTGCACGAACCCTTCACACCCACCCATGACAGTGACGCCCCCGCTATCAACACCAACACAGCCGCCCACCTCCAGCTGTCTGAGAGAACTCAAGGCCACGAGAACTGCGACGCCCCTGTTCGTAATGCCCCTGCAGCCGTTGAGAGCCACGCGCTGCAATGACGTCAGCGAAGACATGGCCTTCAGCCCGTGGTCCGATATCTGACAGCACCCGCTCAGGTCCAGATTCGACAAACACCCAAGGCTGCTAAGGGCTGCTACACCCGCATCGCTGATCCTGTCGCAGTGGGCAGCTTCAAGCCTCGTCAGGGAAGGAAAATACGCCAGGCACGCCAGGCTGGCGTTCCCGATGCATATACAGTCGTTCACCTTAAAGGTTTTAAGGGTTGTCAGGGGTGCCAGCCCCACAACACCTTGGTCTGACACCGATGTGCATCCACTCAGGTTGAGGGCTGTCAAGGATACCAGGGTTGAGACCAAGGGCAGGCCATCATCTGCTATTCCCCAGCATTCTGCAAGGTCAAGCTCTTGGAGCCGGGTCAGGCCAGAAAGCGAATCAAGGCACCTGTCCGTGAGGTGAAAACAACACGCCAGCTTCAAGGTCCTTAGAGAGGGCAAGAGCGCCAGATGCCTCAAGCCGTCGTCTGTGATCTGTGAGCACCCATCCAGTATCAACTCTTGAAGCGCTCCAAAGGCGCCGATGCTTTTCAGGTCGCAGTCATCCACAACCTTGCTGTCTGTGAGGTCAAGGCTTGTCAGGTTCTGCAAGGTGTGCAATTCAGCCAGGCGGTTGGTTGCCATGCCAGTGCAGTCGGATAACACCAAACTCCTCAAGTTCTGCATACCGGCCAGCTGCCCAATCCCATCGCGCAGCCAGCAGCATGAAAGGTCCAAGGCTTCCAGCTGGGTAAGGCAGGCTATGCAGCCCATAATTTTGTGAGAAACCACGTAGGAAAATTCTATTGACAGAGCTTCACTGCTGGTTGACCAAACCATCTCCCCCAGTGCCCCATCGCAGAATTTTGCAAGATTCGACAAGTCCAGCTGTTTGAGAAATCTGAAAGATCTACTTATGGAGACACAAATATCCTCCACCGATATGATGGCAGGCTTGGGCGAAAGGCAGGTTACATCGCTGTCCACTGTGGACTTCCAGCTCTTGTTCAAAAGTCGCAGCGAGCCTATAAGACAGCCATCCTGCCAAGTCCGCCCCATAGCCCTTTTCAGGGCCAACACCACATCTTCCTGTGGAGCGCTCCATGGCCAAACTGCGGCATCCTGAAACAGATGGTTCACCAGACATCAACCCTCTGATTCCACTGATCAAACATGACAAAGCACATCCCTTGCATCGTCAAGGCCATGACAGGCAGCTTCACTGTACAAGTTGGGGCTGTAGGGGAAGGTGCAGCAATGCTGTCATCACACAGTTCCTTGCTGCGATCCATATGCAGAGTGCTTCAAAGAATGCATGTGGGTTGCAGCTGCTGACAACAGAACATGTCATGGAAGGGTGCCCTTGGCAAAGGAGCCACACAGTGGCAGCCATTCAGTGTTCAACTGCAAGAAGCCGTTCACAGGCAGCATGGTGGAGGGCAATATCATGGTCCAGACACAACACACAAGAACTGTGGGTCTCCCCTTTGTCATCCATTCTTGCTTTTCCTCGAATCTGCTGGACAGTGTTGATCCCATTCAGGAGATATGTTCCCAGGCCGCTGACACACTGGAAATTTACTGGCAAGAGACAGAGACGTACTGAGCTTCCGTATTGAACCACCACCTTATCTGATTACCACCGCCAACAGTGCACAAAACGACTACTATTGAATCCTGTGCCTTGCGCTCAGGGGTCTAGTCATCTTGGAGCACTCACCTTTGCATTCTCACCCAGAGATGCCATGCTGAGCTGCACACACAGACGGTCCGTTTCAGCGAGAAGCAATCCAGCAACACATCACGTTACAGGTGCTATGTTTTCTTTCCCTTGGGATTACGATGGCACCATCCGAGTTGAAGGCCACACACGACCAGCAGCGACTGGCGTGCATGTTCCCTGTGGCTACCACCGGCACATATGGAATAATAGGGCTCGCCAGAGTTGCGCTAAGGGCCGTGCGGGTGACAGCATCCCAAAGTCATGTGCGCAAACTAGCCCTGTTGGTTGCATGCTCCAAAAGGCTGGATAACGGGGCCACAAGCCACATTCTCGAGATGCGACCGAAACTCGACATGGCGGTGAGGATCATTGTCGCGGCAGAAGACAACGGGGAAGAAACCAAGAGTGGAGGCCATTGTTTCTGCAACCGCTTGACAAACAGGCGCCTTGACTCACAATTGTCCCCTTCGAGCGACATGAACTGCGGAGAAAGCACTACAGAGGCCTGCTTCCCCGCGCCCTCTTCTCAACGCGCCCTGCGCCGGTGCCGGCTTGGCACGCCAACCAATGCACGGCCGGGTGTCACTTTCTCCGCCTTCCCGGAGCTCAACGGTTCGGCTCGGTTCGACCGCACGGTTCATCGAGAACCGAAGAGGCCACACCCACCTCCTGTGCAGCGCAGGCTGGTGCACGACGAGGTCTGCCAGAACGTTACTTGGTGGGTCGGTTGCCCCGGAGTCCTTTGGTCCGTTGCGGCGTGGATCCGTTTGAAGCAGGAGCGTTACCGCTACTCGGGAAATAACGTTTCCCCCACTACTCTGACAAATTGTGACTCAGGATCGGTGACACTCCGTGACGCACAAGAGGGGGGTGTCCTACACGGGACGGAGCTCGGACAAATTAGTACGAGCGTGAGGCTCATTCGCGACTGTCAGCACCCTGGGTGTGCGCCAATCACAAGAGCGAAGGCCAGCTTTGACAGCCCGCGGATCGCCTGTTGGACTCGAGTGCTCACTTGCGGTGTTTGTGGACTCGCTGCGCGTGGGTCGCAAATCGCACATTTCGCGTTCGACCTTTTCGGCTCGAGGGACGCTGCGGCCACCTGGCCTGTGCTCACCTATTGTGCGATTTGCCCACCGACGGCTTCCAGGAAGCGCCGCACTCTCGAACCAGCGTGTGACAAGCCCCAGAAGCATTGGCGTGCCGCAACACATCCAATTGGATGCATGGGCTCGAGATTCGGGCTGTTCACTCTCCACCGCTCAAAATGGGTCCCAGGCAAACGGGAATTCTGGAACGAACGTCGCGGACCGCTGAGGTGCAACAGCAGTGGCGCGTCGATTTTTGGCCAGCGCCAGCAATGGCCTCGCTTCGCCCGCAAGGCGCAGGGGCTGTTGCACGGTTATTCTTACAACTGAAATCCGTTGCATGTGCTGGCGATCCATTGGTTGAGGACAAGGAGGCGAAGTGGGGATCCGTCTTCGGGGAAGCATCCGCCGACACAGTTCTGCTGGAGCCTCGGCGTTGCGGAAGTCTCGTGGCGGCTCACCCTTGCGGGGCTCAATATAGAATTCAGCCAACATCAGCTCCATAGGGACCAGGTCAGGGCCTCAGGGCACGACTATGGCAGCAGAAACAACTCCGTACACCCACGACAACAGCGTGATCGCACAGCACGCCGTGGATCAATCAATCAGGCAGCCTTGCCCGTGTGCGGACGCCGGGGAAGCAAAGACCAAACCTGTTCACGGTCCCTCCACGACGAACAAGCTCCAACCCCGTCCGGCCTTGGGACAGACCCACACACCCATTCATTCCCACCCATCCTTGTCGACAATGACGGTCCGATCCGATTCGCGATTGGCTGCGGCGCGAGGGTGGCGGTCCCCAAGGTCCGTCATGCGGACCGACGGGGGGGCATCAAAACTGCCGCCCCCGCGGGCGGGGTCCAGCAAAAACATCCCTCACAGGGGTCTGGATCACGTCCAGTGAGTGGGTTGGGTGGTCCGGGGCGCCCACAGAGGACAAAGGGCGGCTGGCGGGCTCGCGACCAGCCCACGCCAACAGCCTTGGAGGCGCCCCTTAGCCCTGGGCTGCGCATCTCGCGGCAGTAGCGCCCCCCCGCGGATCCCGCGGCAGGCGCGGGGTGCCCGTTCTTTGTTGAGCGGAGGGCTTCACGCGGGGCGGGGCCCGCGGCAGAGGGCGGAATGGAAGCGGGCCACATCAAAGGGATCCTGAGGGTCCGGCCCAACGTGCAGGACATACCCACGGACCGCCTGACGGTGGTGGATTCCGGGGAGGTGGGTAATGGGCCGCTCGGCGCCCAAGTGCCTGCCTTCTTCCCCCCTTATGCTTGTGTCGGGCGGGGCCGAGGTGCTGATTGGGCAACCTGTGGGACTTGTGCGCAGGGCGCCACGGTGCTCGTGAGGAAGCGCGGAGGCAGCACCGGCGACCTGCTCAAGGTACCGATTGGCCGCGCGACGGCGGGGCGCCGCGTTGGGTGAGCTTGGGCTCATGGGCGGGCGGGGATCGTTCCTGACGCGGCGGCGTGCTTTTAACGGTTTCTGATCGGCCGTGCGGGTCGGGTGGAAGGGATGGCTTCGCCCGGCGCGTGCGCCCGGCTGGACGACTCGATTCGATCGATGTGATGCATTGATGGAGGTCGACGCTGCCGGGGGGGCCTTCGTGAGGGTGGCCCTGGATGCGCGCCTCGCTCGCTGCCCCTGCGTGCTGCCGTGACGGAGGTCGAATGGGCGGAAACGGGGCTGGGAGGGGCTCGCTGATGGCCCGTGGGGCGCCTGGGGGTAGGCGTACATCCACGGCCTGCCGGATTGTCTGCCGTACGGCGCTCGAGTTCTGATCGGCTCCGGACGGTTGCCTTGGGTCCCTCGTCGCGGAGGGCAGCGGATGCATTGGCCGGCCTTGCTGCCGCCGGCTCTCCTCTCGCGTTCGAATCCTTGGCATCGCGGAAGGCTGAGCGGCCGTTGACATGGGCCCCTGGCGGGCTGCCGGGTATCCCACTTCCGGCTTGCATGTCGGAACGAGGTGACCGCCATGACTGGCGACTTGGGAGCAAACGCCGCGCGACACGAGACTGAATCCCAGGCGCACGGTGGGCGCGAGTGATGGTAGCAATGGCAACGGCAAGCGGCACCGCCTGTGGGACGCCGCTTCGCCGGTGCTCAGGCAGTACCGGGGGGGGTGGGGGTGTCTGCGTACGCGGATTCCGGCGCCGCGGGACGCCGAGGACCGGTCAGAGGCCCGCGCGGTTTGGCAGTGTTGCTCCGGCGGGGCGGTCCGTAATCTGTCGCTGCGAGAGGATTAGCGTGTTCGTTGCAAGCGGGAATTGCGCTCCAAGCGTGTTCGTGGCGAGCGGGGGAATGCATCAGTAAGGGAGAAAGTCGTAGTGATGCAAGGTTGGGGTCACCCAACGCGGCCTGCCGCGAGGGTCAGCGCTGGAAAGTGCCCGTTCCTGTGGCGGTGGATATGCGAGTGGGGCTGATGCCTGGACATAGGAGTTGGATCTCCAAGGAGGTCCACGAACCCAGTCATCGGCGTGAGAGGGCGGTTTTAGCCGTGTCTGGGATCTCCGTTTTGCTGTGGCAAGGACGATGCTAGGGGGTGTTTGGGGTGGAAGGCAGTCGCCAAGGGGCAGCGAAAACAGGGGATACGCATGGGCGATCCAGAAGGATTGACACATGGATGTTGAGGTAGGTTTGTTTGTGCAGTTCAATTTCTGGAGGGCTCTGGAGGGTGCAACTCAGGAAGAGACATACAAGGTATGGTTCAGCTTGGTGCTCTGGTGCTGCAATGTACAAATGGCCAACCAACACAATCTGTTGTCAAGAAAGGGCATGTGTTCAGCAACAGCGTACTGGGCAGATAACTGCTGTTAAAGTGTCACAGCATTGGCACTTGTTGCTACAGAGTTGATCACCGACAAGTTCGATGAGTTGTGCAGTTCCTTTCTGCCAGACCTGTGGCTCAACTGCTTTCAGGAATTGTGGCCTTGTATCGGAGACTTGTAGATTACTGTCTACCAGATGTTCACACTTGATACACCCTTGGCAAGGTATCGTCCAGGGCGGTGTGTGGCTCTCACCACCAATGTTTTGGTACCATCTTGTAGCTGCCCATGGGTTTATTGGCCCATTTTCCATAGGTAGTTTCCACAAGATGCCTCACCAATTACCCCTTGGGCTGTCTGGGCGAATTGTCTTGTGCATTGGAGCTGTGTACTAAAGTGGACCAAATCACAAGCCAGAATGCGAAATTTGAGAGGTGATTGTGGCTGCTGGTGGCTCCCCCACACCACATGCTTCAAAGAGTCCTTCTGCTGCTTGGCTCTTGGCCTTTCAGCCCTGCCCTCAGATGCATTGGTCGGCGAGGAGCACAGGTGCAGGCACTTTGTGGGCATGTTTGCGTGCATCCATAGGGCTGCAATTGACAGATTTCTAGTACCTGATTAGAATCCCAACTTGCAAACAGTGTCGGTAGAATGGTGCAAAATTTTAAGGGACACTGGCACCCCTTCGTCGATTGGAAAAAGAAACTTCTGAGACTGGGAACAGTCTTGTGGACTGCCTTCATGTCATTTGATGCCCATCATGGGACCTGCCATCGCATTGTATTGTCTTTTGAGGTAGCTAGTCACCCACAATTACTGTTGCGTTGGGAGCCAACCTGAAATCAAGAACTGGCAACGGCTCTAGAGATGTGGCTATGCCTAAAGTCCCCGCCATGCAGAATTTGCATTATCTGCTGCCGTGACCTGGCCTGACAGTGACATCGTTGGTTTGCTTTCTGTGCAGACGGTTGGGGCCCCACTTGTGAATGCTGCATTGGAGGGCTACAATGCAACGATCCTTGCATATGGGCAAACAGGCTCTGGGAAGACATACACCATGTTGGGTGCGTCCTGTAATCTCGCAGAGTCTTTATCGGTGCTTGTGTTCTTGTTTGTCAGTTTTGCATCATCATTGCATGCTATCATGCTCCCTTAGAGGATTGATTCTCCTCTGGCAGCTGATGATCGTGGTGCAGAAAAGAGTATCAACATGATTGTCGAGGGGGGCCATGCCTACGTGACATGTTTCTTCCCTGTCCGGAGAGGTGTATGATGCTGCATCCGATAATTGCTTGCTAAAGCAGACAAGGAACCTGTGGAAACAATAGTATTTTGATTTGCCTGCAGCACTGAGTTCCCTTTGGTGCTTGTTGATGTCTTTGTCCAAGCCAGTCCTGTGCTGTGTGATGCAGGTCCTGAGGACTACAACATAGGTGACCCTGACTTCAAGGGGATAATGCCACGAGCACTGGACCATGTAAGTGGGGTCATTGTTGGCCCTTAGTCACTCGTTTGTGACTGGTGCACCATCAGGCAGGCACACGCTGGCACAGTTGCCATGTTATTCCTTTCTGAATTCGAAGGAGAGTCCATCTGTTCGGGAGAGCAGACTGACGATCGTCGTGTACTGGCAAGGCTTCTTGGGGATCGTGATCGCTGTGAAGACGAGTTTCAGTTTGCCAGTTCTGTATGTCACCTACATTGTTAAGTCTTACGTGTGGACCAGTCCATGGTTGGCTTTGTATTGGCGCTGTTAGAGGTGCGATTATCATGCTTTTTGCTGCTTGCAAATGGCAGGTGTTTGGGGAACTCCGGCGAGGCAAATTTGTGACTTGGACGGTGAAATTGACATACATAGAAATCTACAACGAAAGCTTCAGGGATTTGCTGGAGCCACGTGCAACGGACATTTCATTGGCAGACTCTAATCCCAGGTGAGGCGATGCCTCTTTTAGGGATGCCAAATGCCAAAAAATGCCAAAATTGTTTATTGCCAAATGTGGACCGTGCTGAATGCACTGTGCAAGTAGTGAAACACGCACTGACAGTTTCTCATTTCTTCACCCGTGCAGCTGTTGTGACCAGCATTGGGCTACTGACTTGAATCCATAGAGTTCGTACGTTGCTGATTTGAATCAAACAGGGGGTGAAGTGTAGGATTTGGTTTCAGCCATTCTCGCTCCACTTGTTCCCTGTGGTGAAGACTTGCGCAGCAGTTCTTGATTCCATGAATCGTGATCCCCATGTCTGCCAGTGAGGAGCAAACAAAGGGGTGAGCTGCTTCAGGTCTGCCAAATGCAGCCCAGCAGCTTGGCAGCATTTAGTTTGATTCAGTTTCAGCAACAGGCTTGCATCTCTCAGGGTGCATTGCTGCACATGCACGAGCATTGCTCATTTACACACATTCCATCGGCATGGGGGGGGCCTGACCACAAGAAGGTTTCTGGCATCAAACAGCGCAACCCTGTTGATGGCGCCTCTGGATCTTTCTTTTTTGATTTGTGTTTGTATTTTGCTAATTTGTAGTGAATGGATAATTGAACTTTGGACAGGGATCATAGAATATGTCGATGTGAACTCCTGTTAATATGTTGATGCATAATAACCATGCACATTGATGACTTATTTTTTTTGTTGAATTTTTTAGTTTGTTGTGCTTTTTTTGTTTGGTTTAGTGCTCAATTGGTAGCCATGGAAATACGAGTGCCTGTCACCATCATCAAGCTGCAAAGGCACTTTTGTTTCTTGAAAAGCACATTTCATTCATTAGTGTTGTGTTTTCTTACAGATATGTTATTCATCAGGTGCATATATTTCCGTTCTTTGTTCTATCTCTCTGAGACACAGGTCACAGACCAGATATGATTGACTGTTGGTAGTCATATCTGATATGCAAATGCTGTGAATGCCTGGTGCTAGGGGCAATGGGACGATCTCACTGCGTGGGGTCCAGCACGTGGAAATTCAGTCAGTGACTGAGGCCCTGCACTACTTGCGCAAGGTGCGACCTGTGCTGCTCTACCATTGTCCACCTGTTTTTGTGGACTTCCATCTATTGAGGTGTCCTTTGCAAAATTGGCGACTGTCCAGTGGCTGGACTGTGGGAAGAATGCATTTTGCACACCGTGGTTTCTGAGCTGACTGGAGGAAGGCACTGGAGATCTTGCTTGGAGTGTGCTGAATGTGTCGGTCGCACCACAGTGCAGCTGAGACGGAGGCAGCGATGTCATCTTTTGTCTGCAATGTTATTGTAGGGCCAAGTCGGGCGGCATGTGGGCTCGCACACAATGAATGACCGATCCTCACGCTCTCACACAGTCTTGACTTTGTGGCTGGATACAACTGACGATCGTGAGTGATTCCACTACCTTTTGTCCTTTTTGAATTCCTGGAGGCGCCCATACTCAAGTGCATTTGCGATTGTGTGGAATTCGCGCAGTTTGTGCAGTTACCTAAGTGGTGCTCTCTTACGTCTGTTTTGCTCCTGGTGTGGTCATCTACATTCCTTCCAGGTTAAATTGGACTTTTCTGCCGTTGATGTTTCCATGTCGATGGCTGCTTTGCAGCTTCAAGCATCCATGGCTGCTCTGATGTGATTCACCCTCTACCAGCAGAAAGAGGCTGGTTTGCTCATTGATTTAGTCCTTGGCTGTCCCCGCCATCAATTTTGCAACAGTCTGCGGTTCATTTTGTTGGTGCAGCATCCGATATTGAGGACTGGCAATGTATGCTCATGCTGATGTGGAATTTGAATTTTGTGACTGCATTGTGGTTTGGCAAGAGCAATGTGCTTGCACCGTACTGGCAGTTATGTGCGCATGAAGCAGCAATGCTTTTTGCTCCCTGCCCTGTCCTCAAACCTAGGGAATGACAGATGGAGAAAAGAATGCCAACTGCCGCGAAAGAAAAGTGGGAACCGGCGTCCATGCAGGCTTTACAAGAGGTCGAAATGTGGAAATTGCAATGGTGTATGTGTGCAGTGCGTCTGAAATGGACACTTGGTTTTGCAGGCAATGTCAACCTTAAGTCGAAGTTGAACCTGATCGATCTTGCTGGCTCAGAGCGCATCTGGAAGACAGGTGCTGTGGGTCATGTTGCAAGGGAGGCTTCGTACATCAACAAATCGCTGACGTCACTGGCTATGGTATGTGGATGAGTGCTGTTGCAGGAAGCAGCGGATTATCATCCCACCTGAGAGTGTCTTGCACCTGACAAGAAACATGTCACAGATGAAACCCCACCCCCACCTCCAGTGTTAGCAACATTCAGTGCAGAGCTTTTTCCAATCAAGTTGGAAGATGGCGCAAAAGTGTTGTACTGAAAAGCTAGAGTAGTGCAGAGAGAAGGACCATGTGAAAACAGGTGAATGAGGTGCAGCTTTACGTGTTCTGTCGTTACAGTCCACACAGGTGATTTTGTCACTCTGTGCCTCTGTCATTGTGCTATTTGAGAATGAAGAAATGTGAATTTGTGCAAAACACAGGTCGTGAACGAGCTGAAGAAGAAAATGCCGCATGTCAGCTACAGGAACTCCAAACTGACACATTTTCTCAAGGACTCCCTTGGCGGGAACTGCAAGACCCTGTTGATCGCCAATGTCTGGGGGGATGAAAGGTACATGGACGAGACTGTTGCCACCTGCCGCTTTGCAGACGAGATTCAAAAGGTGGAGGTCCATGCGGCCAAGAACAACGGCATCGAGTGCATACAGGGCCATCTTTTCAGGCTGGATGCCCCGATCCTCAAATACATCGACCAGGTCACGGCGCGGCGCGTGGCCCAAGAGAAGGCAAAGCTGATAAGGGAGTTGAAGAGGAGGGGCCACCTGGCATTGCGGGGGATGGAAGACCTTGGAGAGTTGGAGTTGGGCGAGGACGACTGCGAGGAGCTGGAAACGCTCAGGGCCCGAGTGAAGGTGGAGCCCCTGCTAGCATTAAGTCTTGTTTGGTTGTTTGTTGGCTTTTGAAGAGGCATTTCTTGATATCTACACTCATAGCACTTTGCTACATGCTTGCAACACTCACAAAGCCATTGTGATTTGGGTTTAGGTTTAAACTCAGCTCAATTGTGAGGTGGTTGGAGGACTGGAGAACAGTGTTATTTTCGTACACGTGTGTACTTGGCAACAATGTACTTTGTGGTACCAGTCGATGCAGTGTTATGCTCCCTGATAAGCTCACTAAGAATATGGACAAGGGTGGCCGTGTGAGTCATGTTAGGTAAGGCATTGGGTAGCAAATTTACTGCATGACATTTGCCAAGTAACAGAGCAGGAGACAAAAGTGCTGGGGAGGTGTTTGCACAGTGCTGACCAATGACCATGGTCTTGCCCTGTGGGAGAGCAGGAGCTGGAGGCCATTCAAGCGATGCTCAATGTCGAAGGGGAGCGACAACCAGGCAATTGGGACAACGACCTCAATGTCAAGGAGACAGAACAACTCAGGATGAGGGTCCGGGAGCTCGAGCTTGAACGAGAGCGGGTGGGGCTAGAACGCAAACGGGTGGGGCATTCTCCTGGATGGATACTGTTGCAATTCAGGAAGTTCGCACAAAGTTTGAGAATGTGGAGCTGCCACACCCTTCTGCTCTTGGATCCACAGTCTGCAATGCTCAGCAGCATAACAGTGGAAATAGGCGTGGATGGGCGTGGATGAGCATGGAAGTTATTGTTGTGCTGTGCGTGATTGTCATTCAAGCAATGTTGTGTGGGGAGTTTTGGCAGGCCATGAGACACTGGGGTGCAGCTACAGGCCATTGTGTGGTAAATTTGTCCCCACATTGACAGATTGTGTGTGGTGATGTGCAGGATGCACAGCGTGATGCTGTACTGACTGAACGAGGAATGTCTCTCATGGCTGAGATGGAATCTCTGAGGCAGAGAGTCAAGGAACTGCAGGAGGTACTTGGCAGTTCTTGAGCACACAACAAGAAGCTCTTTTGTTCTCGCGTTTTGCCACTGTCACTTGAATTACACCATCCACGTGCTTGCTGCAGTTGAGGACAGTGTTTTTATTGTGTGAGGTCTGCTGTACTTGTCACATACACAACAAAACAAGCCCGTTGCACCTGCAGAAGCGTCGACAGGCAGAGCAGAACCCAAACAACATTTGATCATCCCAATAATCTTCATCCCATGTTTGTCTTACCACATCTGTTATCCTATTGCAGTATCTGTCCCTCCTTGCTGTTATGATCCTGGGTTTGGACATGATATTTTGAGTGGACATGCTGCTCTGACATGCCCAGCATCTCCTCAATGTTGGCCGTTCACTCTCCTGGGGTTTCTGCTGAGGCGCCAATCTTTAAAAAATGGAACAGCAGGGAGCAAGTGTCGTGGCCTGAACCACCACTTTGTGTTTGCAATACTATCGGGTGGTGCCTATGCAAACAGTTGGTGAGCAGTCACATGGTCTAGATATGGCAATGGCTCCCATCGCTTGCACAGTGCATAAGCGCAGGTTTTCCCTTTGTGATGGAGAAATCTGACCTTTGCAGAAAATTCAGTTCGTTACTGCACCCATGCAATTCATAAACTGCTTTAGGAGCCCTCCACTTCTTGTGACGTCTCTGTGGATTCATCACCAAACGCTTCGACCATCTTCAATTGTTCACCAACTGCTCACGCTTTAGGAGATTTGCAACTTCACAGAAGTCCACAGAAACTTAGAAACTTTGATGGAATTTCGTGGAAGATTTGAATTTTGTTTTTGTGTTGTTGCACATTGTGGTTGGGTAGCAGATGGCATATTGCAATTTTGTTGTTGCTGTTGTAGGCTCGTTCGCTCTCCACAGAGGAAGTAGAAGAGCTGCTGAAGGTGCGCCAGAGGGTGCTCGACATTGCCAGTGCCACGCCAGGCGCCCTAGGCCTCGACGGCTTGGATGGCTCTGACAAGCTGCTGCTTGATCCTGCGGCACGCAGAGCTGGCATGGGCCGATTGGCTTCTGTGTCGGAAGAGTCAGAAGCCAATGAAACACGCTTGGCTGCTGATGGTTCCCTTGCTGCTGGGCCGGGTATGGAGCAAGAGGTGGAGAAGCTTCACGAGCTGCGCAAGCGGCTGAAGAAACTGCAGAAGATGGGCAGCATCGATGACGACGGTCTGTTGGAGTTGCTGGATTTGAGGGACAAGATCCTCAATGGCCAGGTATGCTCGAAACCTTCCTTTGATTATGAAGAATTGTTGGAATACTGCAATTTTTGGAAACTAACAGATCGCTGCTCTTTTGCCTGTGGGGTTAATGTTTTGTGCTCGTCTTTCTGTGTTGTGTTGCTGGGTGCACCCCCTGTAGGTTAGTTGAGGGTGGGCAACTGTGACTGCTTCCACCTCGGTGACCTGGCCCATGTCCTAGGTGCTGTAAATTTGAATGTGCAGTTAAGCACAAAAGAACCTTTGTTTCCCAATTGTACAGTATCAGCATCTTAGAGCATGTTTATCCGTCAGTGCCATTGCACCAGCAGAGCTATCCAGGAATGGTTCTCACTGGCTGCTGTGCCACCTTACTAATGTGGCATTTGCTGAATAGCACCGGTGCTATTGCTCCCCGGCATGCATACGCAATGGTGGGTGCTATTATTGTGCTGAATAGCATCACGGCAGCACTAGAATGTTCTGCTCAAATAGCACCGGGTGCTATTTCAGGATGCTATTTGGCCTCAAGCGGTGCTATTCGGAAGCTCTTAGGAATCCTTTCCACACAGTGGTGTGCACTCTGAGTTCAAATGCAAAGGGACAGAGACCAAGTAAGGAGCTGAGTTGGGCTGTGCTCACTGTGCAAGAATTGTTTTGGGCATTTGTTAAGATTGTCAGACCATTATGCATTTGCCTTCCAAGCAAAGGAGAACACCGCTGCAGGCAGAATCAGGTGTCTGTTCTATATTCAGGGCTTACAATGGCTCACGATGTGTCTGTGCATTTGTATTCTATTTGAATTTGTCTACTTGAATCTTCACATTCTTCCAAGACATTGCAGAGCATGCAGACTCCAGATGCCGTTCCCAATCGAAGCCTCAACAGAAAATGGAATGCTATGTGATGCCCGAAAAATTGGATCGTATGAATGCGAATGTGTGCGCATTGTTGCACAGTTGAAGGACGATGATAGTGCGAGTGGGGTCGTGGATGGGTCTCGTTTTGTCCCGTACCGAAAGAAGCATGGGGCAATTGGCGCTGGGACAATGACAACGATGCCTGATGAAGATGGCGATGCGATGTCAGTTGCTTCAAGAAGCCCTGAGAATGGGTACCAGAGAATGGAGATGACTCGAAGCCTGAGCACTGAAAGGGAGATCCAGATGCTGCGTGCTGAAAATGAGCACATGCGGAATGCCCTGGAGTCTTATGCGGAGCTTCCGCCCTTCAGTTCAAGCGCGGTTGCCAATGGATTTGAGCATGCCTACATGGAGACCATGGGACCAGATGCATCCATCTCATACACGTGAGAGCCACAGCCACTGGGGACTCCTATCTTTGTCCCAAACTCCTTCCTGGGGCAAGGGCAGCTATTGTGTAGTGTGTGATTCAATCGACTCGATGTTGTATTTCTGTTTGATAGCTGTCGTTAGTGCAGATGCAAATGTCAATGGATCTGTTGGCACTGGACATGGCATCTTTTCCCAGTGCTCTGGTTTTCGGTTCACTGTTGCTGGGGCTTCGATTCAGCATGCAGTTTGTCAATAGGGCCGGATGTCAGACTACATCTGAATCAGCCACTGACCTGTCAGTGCACAGCACTTCATTTGCTACAGTCAACTGGCATCTGAAAACATGTGCCTGCTGAAGCACTCCACTACAAAAATCACCCTGCATCATCTTGCAGTTGAATAGGCAATCTTGTCCATTGCAAGACAAAGAGGAAATAGGACAAGAAGAAACAGAAAAAGAAATGAGAACTTGTGGAAAAACAAGGAATTGACGAGGTTGTTTCCATTGCCTGTACTTGTCGATTATCTGTACTTAGCTATTTGCTCCTGGTTGACAGCCACGACCAAGATGTCTGGCCTCTGCAACAACGGACCGGAGAATCCGCTACCAGTGCTGGCAGGCTGAAGTCGAGGCTTGGCCGGAGGCTGAGCAAGGCGTTCACATGGCGAAAGCGGGACAAGCCCAACAAATTTTTGATGGACTACCAGACGAATGAGGACGAGGACGTCCCCAACATTGTCATCCTCAATTCGTTGACACATGACCAGCTTCTGGAACTGCTGAAAGCCCGCAATGCGCAGGGCAGCGAGGCAGGTGGGGTCACTGGATAGTTGATGTACACTTGCAGGCATTTGTGAGGCGGAAATGCGTTTCTTGTGGAATATTTGTAGGGCGGAGTGGTGGTGGTGGCGTTTTAGAGAAGACGCGAATGTCTAAGTGCGCTTATCTGTTCGTGCTTGTTTGGCTGAATGGCACTGGCGATGGCCGCGGCCAGACAATATTGAGGGATCTGCCCCTTGTGCGCTGGTGGAACAGCAAGTGTGTTCACATGTTCGTCGATTATGCTGTATCCGCAGTCTGCACGTAGCATGCACTTTGTTACTAGTTTTTCAAGTCCAGCGCTCCACTCCTCCACTGTCCATGTCGATTGCATTTACTTCCAGCTTGATGCCCTGCACTCGTGTTTCATTCTTCGCCCAGTTGTGAGCAAGCTATCGCAATCGAGCAGCAAAATTGATGTGCTGCATTATGGTTTAGATGCGTGCGGTTGTGGCCTTACCCTGCGAACTGCTTCTCAGGCGGAGGTGACTCCTAACAATGTCCTCCATGCTTCACATGATGCCGGTAATTCACATTGGTGCCGTTAGTTTGCAAATGCAGGCAGCTGCAGCTGATCGTGGCCCTCCTGCTCTGGTGCGCAGGTGAACCCGATGCCGAGACCGGAAGCCAATATGGAAGGCCGCAGTCGGTGAGGAGCATGGCATCTTCTGGCATGGACACGTCCACGACCATTGGGATGGACGCCAGGGAGGCCGAGCACGAGGGCTCCATCAGGGACCTGGAAGTCGTCTAAGAATAACATACGAGCAGCAATAATGGCGCAGCCACGGGCGCCCTAACGGGGGTGGCCAATTCATTGCTGTGTGCAGTTCAAGCCAGCTGAACGTTCGTGACAATAAGCAGGAGGGGGGTTGACGCTGGGCTCTGATGGGAGGCTCTGACAGCGTGTGACGGGGGAGGGGGGTGGGGTTTAGCGAAAGCGAGGCGCAGGAACCACAACTGTATGGAGTTATTACTGGGCTTGTATGTGAAGCAGCTGCCGGGAGGGTTGCGTCAGTGATGGTGCCTGCCATCCAGATCGGGTCTCAGAACGGCCGCCTTTGGTGTCTGCTGCCTGGCGCAGCCGTGAAGGTGGCCACTTCTCTGCAGCGGCTGCCCGTGCACAGCTGCAGCTGCATTTCCGATTGCTGTGCCTGCCGCAGTTGTCGCACCACTGTTGGGTGCGGCCGGCGGCAGTGCATGATGTGATCGTTGGAGTCGCGCTGCTGGAAATGGCCTTTCGACGATGGGGTGCTGTGCCGTGGGGTTGTTGAAACTGGAGGGAGGAGTGTGCAGCGGGGACGCGATGGCGTCAGCCGACGCCGTGCAATTGTACCATACCAGGTTGTAACCTTGTGTTGTGGTTGTCCTGCTGCACACCCTGGGGTGTGTCATTGACAGCCCCTCCCCTGGGGTGGCGATTGAGTCAGGGTTCTTGTGTTTTAGTCCGCAATTTCCAGATCTGGGGGCCGTGTGTGTTGCTGCATGCGTTGGGGAGTTGATTCACCGTGCTTTGTCAACCACGCAGCCAACAAGTTCGGCGTATCTGTCCAATGTGGGCATGGTGGGAGGATAGGCATCGGCCATCGTCAGGCGCATAGCCCGGGCATCAATTACACAATCCACCAAATAAACCGGCGGAAGACCTGTACACATCTTACAGCGTTGGATTTAAACCGCCCAGAGTGATGATGCGGCCCCCTGTTCATGGCTTACTACCTGGCACATCAGGTGACATAATATCGAGGACTGTTTCCACGTCGGATAATATTCTCACACCGGCAACAATCACGGCTGCCTCCACGGGCCCCAGTGCTCCGCGGGCACAGCCGCAAGAAGTTTCTGGAAGGACCGAGCGGCCCTCATCGCCCAAAACACCACTCCCACAATGAAATCAATCAATTCCCAAACAGGCCGATCAAATCCCACAATATCTCAATTCCATTCTCCCCAGCCCCAGCGCCCCTCACCCCCCGCTCCCAGGTGTCCTCTCCTCCCGTCCCCTACGCCAGCTCGTCCTGTAGCAGCACGGCCGCTGAGGCCAGCACCCACTTGTGCGGCGGCTCGTTGGTCTTCAGCGTGAACATGCTGACGATGGGGGAGTACACGTTGGCCCGCTGCATGTTGGTGTACACCGGGCACGGGTAGTACCCCGTCAGGTCGTAGTTCTCCGTCGTGACGGGCTTCACCATGAGGACGGGCAGCGCGGGGTGCAGCTCATTGGGCAGGCTGTCCTTGAGCACGCCGTCCTCCTTGTCCCACCGCGCCCCCTCCATCACCAGCCCGTGTATGTACACCCCCACGGGTGCCGGCTCACATATGTTCTCCACCGTCTTGCTCGTCACCTCGGTCATGAACTTCATCATGTCCAGGGGCAGCTTGTTTGCCCGGGCGTACGTCTGCATAACTGCCGTCAGGAAGGCCTTGGGGTTGAACATGCCCGACAGCCAGACGCTGTTCGGGGTGGCGATGTCCCCGGCCGTCCAGGCCGACAGCTGCTCGTGGCGCTTCAGGACGTCGTGGAACCAGGCCGACAGGGTGAGCACCTCCTGCACGCGGGTGGACATCTGGGACATCCACAGCGCGGGCACAGAGTTGGACGCCAGGCCCCTGGACAGGGCCTCCATCTTGTCGTTCATGTTGAGCGCGCCGTCCAACCCCAGCTGCAGCTCCTCCATGGACCGCTTCATCTCCACGATCAGGCCGTTCATGCGGCCCGCCTCCTGCAGCGCCACCACCACGAAGGGCGTCTTGTCCTTCACCCTGGACTCCACTTCCACCATCACGAACGGCTCCGGCAGCCGCTCCATGAACGCCTCCAGCGAGCTCCGCACCGTGGACTCCCCGCTGCCGCCGCCGCCGCCGCCGCTGCCGCCGCCGGAGACGTCTATCAGCGTCCTGAACAGCGTTTCGCCCTCCGACGTCAGCAGCGAGAGCTCCGCGTTGGGGTGCATGCCGTACAGGATCGGCGTCTCGGGCGGCAGCGACGCCTCTATGTACTCCTTCATGCTGGTGTAGTCCGTGGGCGTGGGCGCCTTGAAGTTGGGCGCCAGCTCCATGACGGGCTCCGCCCACGTGGCGGGGTCGCCGGCGTCCCCCACCGGCATGATGGTGGGCTGGATGAGCACCTCCAGGTACGTCATGCAGCAGCGCCGGTCCATGGCGTCCGTGATGTGGCCGCCGTAGAACACCTCGCCGAACATGTACCGCAGGTCGTCCCAAGGGACGACGCTGTAGGCCTCGAGGTAGTTGTGCAGCACGTCGCCGCAGGTGGTCAGGTCGCCCATGTTGAAGGAGTAGCCCCTGCAGAAGCCCAGGCCCGAGCCCGAACCCAGGCCGATCCCCACGCCGAACTTCTTCCTCCCCAGGAGCAGCGAGTGGTAGAAGCACAGGCCGAACAGGATGGCCTTGAAGGCGGTCTGCTTGGCGACCCCGTCGACACGGTCCATCTGCTGCTGGGAGAAGGCGGCGAACGCGCGCCGCATGTTGGACTTCATGTCGCTCGGCGGCTCGTTGCTGATCTTCACGCTAGTCTGCAGGATCGACTCGGGGATGATCTTCGCGTGGGGGGCGCCGTTTATGGGCTCGGCCGAGAAGAAGCACCGGAAGTCCGCGTGGGCGTTCTCCGTGGCGGACTCCAGCTTCCTCTCCAGCCTCGGGATCCAGCCCTGCATGAGGTGGACGTTGTCCAGGAACACCCAGCCGCCCTCCTTCATGTACTTGTCCAGCGTCGCCTCCGCGGGGCCCTCCTGCCCCTGGCCCATGGAGATCAGCGTCAGGCCGCCGTTCTCCACCGTCTTTCCGCGCTTGTTGGCGCAGATTTCGATCTCCTTCGAGGGCGAGTAGCCGGGGAAGAGGATGAAGAATATGGGCGACGCAGCGGTCGTCTCCACCATCATGGTCCCCGCGTCGAAGGCGTCCTGGTTCACATACTTGGAGCCCATGGCGTTCTCACAGAACATCTGCAGGGCGTTGGTGATCCGGTCGGGCCGCAGGGCCCGGGTGATGAGCAGCTTTCGGAACTCGCTCAACTTGTTCCACTCCCCCGGCATCTTGGCGTTCTCGGCGTGCTCGTTGTGGCACCACGCGTACCAGTCGTCGGAGTTCTTCTCCATCTCCTTGGCCAGCATGCCGAAGGTAGGCACGGTGGTCAGAACGTCCAAGGACGCCCACTGCGCCTCGTTCATCCATCGGCTCAGGTCGTCCGTTATGGGCGGCGGCGTGGGGTTCTTCGCGCCGCTGCACAGGGCCTCGTACTCGTTTGCATCCAGCTGCTTGCCCGCCAGCAGGATCCTGAACGTCAGCAGCGTCAGCACGATCAGCTTGTCCCGATCGAAGAGCCCCCGCCGCGTGAAGTTGTACACGGTGTAGGTGCACGTCTCCATCAGCGCCTGGAGGCGCTTCTCAAGCACCTCCGGGTCGTCGTAGTCCTCCTCGTCCTCCTCTTCCGCCTCTTCTTCCTCCTCCACCACGTCCACCTCCTTGTCCTCGGGGATTGTGGGCTCGTGGTGCTCTCCCGCGTGGCTCTCCCTGGGCCCCGCGTGACTGGCCCGCCGGCTACCCCCTCCCACGGAGGACGCCCGCCTGGACTCACCTCCCATGGAGCTCCTCCGCATCATCTCGCGCACTTCTTCAAAATCCTTCGCCTCGCCAGTGAGCCTGCGCTGTATGCTCTCGTAGGTCACCAACTCCGGCTTGCCCTTCTTCTTGCCCCCGGGGGTCAGGTCGATGCCGCGAGCAAACACCGTTACGAAGGCGTTGAGCGAGAATTGATAGAAGGCGTGGATTTTGTTCAGCGAGTTGAGCAGGAAGAAGAGCATGGCGCCGCGCGCGGCCACGTGGCGGTACTTATTACGGTTCTCGTTGATCTGGATCTCCGTCTGCTTGGCCTCGGAGACCTTGAGGGTGATTTCTTCCGCGACCCTCTTGGACTCTTCCAGCGACTCAATCAGGGCCACGTCTTCCGTCAGGTCGCCCTCCGCGGCGGACAGCTTGTACAGCAGGTCGTCTTCCAGCTGCTTCAGCTTGATGGTGAACTCGTTGTTCTGAATGATGAGCTGGCTCTTCGTCTCCTCCAGCTCGGGCCTCTCCTTGTTGACCACCAGCGCCAGCAGCTGGTCCTCCAGGCCCGTCTGCGTCACGGTGAAGTTGATTAGCGTGGTCTCGGCCTGGATTTCCGGCGGGTAGTGCGGGTTGGACAGCTTGGTGTGCAGGAACAGCCGGAAGTTCTTGTTGTACTCCACCTCCCGGTCACCCAGCTTAACGAACATGTTGCGCCCCTTCTTGAAGGTGGACCTGGTGATGACGGGGTTGAGCACCGCCTCGATGGTCTCTCCCATGTTCTCGATGAGCACGGAGTGGCCGGCCTCGATGGCGCGCTCCATGACGGTCATCATGTTGTCCGCGCCCATGCGGATGACCTGCAGCGAGTGTTTGCTCTCGCGCTCCTTGATCCAGGTGATGCCCTGCAGCTGGGGGTCCATCATGAGGGCCCACCGCTCGGAGTTGGTCAGGATGGTGCCGTTCTGAACGGACGTCGGGTCCGAGGGCAGGCCCTCGCGCACCCATCCAGCCACGAGGGCGTCGTCAACCAACACCTGTTGGAGCGCCCATACAAAATCTTCAGCTTCAAAAACTGCTTGATGGTCGCTGGAACAGACATACCCATGGTGGCAAAAGCAGCATCACTGAGACGCGTTTTGCTCGCCATCACCCATCAGGGAAGCTTCTTCTGATTCCAAGTGGGCCCATTGTCGTGAACGCGAAACCAGGGAAAGAAGGTTCGGGGATTCCCCAGGCTTACTGCGTGTGTAGTCTGCCAGATTTTTGCATCGCCGTTTCGGGACTCGCCATTCCTCGGGAGTCTCTCGGTAAAAGTGGGCAAAACATCGGTCGCTATGCCAAAGGGTCGAACAAGGTACGATCAATGGAGTAACATACAGCATCAGTTTTCCGACTGACCTTCAGAGGATCGGATATCCCTTCAGTCATTGGTATGACTTTCTCGGTCAGGAATTTGATCCATTCTTTGATGAGATCGGCCCTGAAGGTGTTCGTGAAGGGCCCCGCGTAGCTGACGAATGAAGACGCAAGCAGCATGTCGCCCGTCAGGACCTTGTAGTCGACGCGGAGCTGTTCCACAGTCTGCGCCCAACGCTCACCTGAGGACATCAGGGCACTTGATCATTCACTCAATTCTATTTGCACTCAGGTTCATTTGTTCAATCAATGATAAGTGATCCTTGTTTCAAGAGCTTCAGTTTGCATCGATTTCCCGAAGCAGATATCACGGTGACGTTGCTTCAGAACTTCAGAAATTAGCAAAGGCAGTGTCAAACTCCTGCAGAAACTGAATGCGATTGTTTCACCTCGTTTTAGTGCTACTGGCAATATCTCTTCCTGTTGTATCGTTGGCCGATATTGCGACATTACCATGTCGTCCACATCGCGCCCCACTGCCCAAGAAACCCGTTTGAGTGTTTTAAACTGCATCCCGTTGCCAGTGATCGCAATTATAAGCGACAAAATCAAGCTAAATTTCATTTCTGTCTGCACTGCAGCACCTACCCTCCGACGCCAGGGCGTTGATGAGTCGGTTCGCTAGGTCCAGCTTCGTCTGGCACTTCTCGGATAGCTGGATGGCCGCCTCCTTCTCCTCCACAGCCTCGTTGAACTCCGCCTCCAGCTTCTGCACCTGCGCATTCAGCAGCGCCACCTTCTCCTGCACGGCCGCCAGCGTCGTGTTGGCCTCCTCCAGTTTCGCGTTAGCCTCCGCCAGCTCCTGCCTCTTAGGCTCCACCTCCGACACGACGTCGTAGTACTTGACGATGTTTATGGACCAGTCGCACAGGCCCGCGGCCGCCCTGGACTTGTTGTATATGATGTCCTTGTTGAAGTGCTCCAGCTGAAGGTACGGTCGCGTCGCGTCCACGTTTTTCTTGGTCACCTTCCCCTCGTCGATCAGCGGCTTGAAAGTCTTCAGCCTCTCCAAGAATTTGTCCACGTTGTTCATCATCTTCTGCGCCGCCCCCCACGACTTGTCCTTGGGATTGTTTTCCAGCAGGATGAGCACCACCGCGGTGATATCGTCCACGCCCGCAGGCGGCTTTTTCAGCGACTTGGCCTCTCCCAAGTCCTTCTTGTTGAGGGTGTCCAGCGCCGCCTCGGCCTGCTCCACGAGCGGCTCGGCCGCCGCGAGGTCCGCCTCGCAGGACGCCTGCTTTTCGGACACCATCTTCGCCACGACCGCGCACTTTTCAGCCTCCACTTGGGCGGCGGCGTTCTCGGCGTTCACCTTCTCCTTTTCGATGCCCACCTGTTGTGAGGGAAAGGTGCAGAGCGGGTACGAAAGCTTAGAAATGGAAGGAGTATTGTTCTTTTCTGTGGGCGCATTTTTGGATGCGAATCTCCCTCGCTGTGGGAACAGTGCTGTGGTGAACAAGTGCGGACATTTGTTATGCGCATTTGCTATGCGCATCCCATGGCCAATGATGCTGCGCACACAGACGCTTGTGTTTTTATAGTTCTCATGCGAGGGATGTGCTATTGGTCCAAGTGAGGACGGATGCATGCCCAAGCTGTTGTTCTGTCCCAACCTTGGTCCTTCAACTGTGCAGCCGAAAGTAAGCCCAAAAATGACAAATAGCCACGCACACATTTGTTACACACCAGCGTGGACTTCACATGCGTTTTGTGGAAGCGAACCATTCCTGCCCTTATGGACCCACTGGTTGTGCCGGATATGAATACGAGAGGCAGCAGCAAGGATGTCGCCATTCGATACCGATGCTCTCTGCTACGAAGCACCCGGTGCTTCGCCGCAAACCGCCCGCAACGTTGGCTAGACACCATGTACGCTTCGTATGCCATAATTGATGTGTGCCATGAATCAATGCGTCGCAAAAATCACACTTTTCGTACCTGAGCTCCGGTCGTTTGCATCATGGCTTGCTGTTTGCAGAATCGCCCAATCAGGCAGGGCTTTTTGCGACGAGCACCATGCTTTGAAATAAGAACGGCACCCATTGATTAGGCGAAAATACCACAGGTTTGGTATGTGGTCAACACAATAAGTAAACTGAACAGCAGTACTGCAGCAACTTCGTCCAGCACTCTGTAAGGATAGAGCGCGAATGCCCAGCACCGACCTGCTCAGCGAAGACGTCTGCGTTTGCGACCTTCTGCTCCACCTCCAGAGCCATTTTTTTGGCGTCCTCTACCAGTACGTCCACCTCCGCCTGCGTCTTGTGAAGTTTGCTCAGACCAGTGTCAAGGCGGTCGATGGCCACCTACGGAGGAAGAAGCAAAGCCGTAAGAATTATGGTCAGACACGGCACCAATGTTGCGCCCACCTGTCTTGTATTCTTTGTCATGATCGGCGTAGGTGGGATTCACAGATAATAAATGCTCTACAGGTCATGGCGCATCATTATGTGTGTCGAGGGCCTCTGCGTTTCGTCGCGGCACCTGAAGGGATGCAGAAGAATGGGAGACCAATGAAACAAATGCGCAATTGAACAAAGACACAAAACAATCCCGTCCTCACAGGTGGCCTTTTGGCTGGCGCTGGATCTGTTCAATGCTAAAACCGTTTCCACGTCAGCTACGCCACTGCATCATCAATTGGTCGCGCCACCATACGTCATTCCAGCAACACGGCCCAAAACTGATCGAAAACGAGCAAAATCGGCAACTGCAGCTCAGCGTCCTAGGGACCACCGTCCACCTGCGTCTCCTCCCGCTTCTTGGCGAGCACGCTCTTGTACAGCTTGATCAACTCCAGGAACGTCTTGGGCGTCGTGTAGTTGTAGCGCCGCTCCACCTCAAAGAAGCGCGTGGAGGCGGCGTTGACGCAAGCGAAGCTGTACGGCATGAATTCGACGACGGCGTTGCGTATGGAGTCCTCTCCGAGCTCGACGTCGTCGAGGAACTTCCTGGCCACGCTGAGGAGAGAGCTCTCGGGCCAGGGTTGGAACCAGTCGATGACCGTGGACGTGACCGTGGCCAGGAAGCGCTGGGAGCGCGTGCGGAAGTTCTCCCCGACGGGTGAGGCCGTGAAGACCATGTGAAGGTTCATCTTCACCTGCGGTAAGAGGTGGGACGAAAGCAAGGGATGACGTTTTGTGGCCCCGCGAGGCCCCCGATGAAAATTGTTTTATGCACTCGGACAGAAGCGTTTGATGATAATGCGTTGAGCAGAATGGAGTTCGTGCCAACAGCGGATTAGTCCCTATTCTTGCGGTCTTCTTTAAGTTGTTGTGAATGCAAAATCCTCTGACTTAAAATGTTGGAAATTGGAACCACACCGGCAATTCAAACGATTGATATCTTGCATGTAGCTAATCACCTGTTTCCCGGGCTACTCTTGATGAGGGTAGCCCTCCGGATGGCAGTCTGCAGGGTGGCCAAGAGGGTAAATTGCATCGCTGAGATAAATCTCCAAAATGCAGGGGCAAGGCGCCTTTACTTGTTCAGAATTGCCCCATGAACATTTGGTATGCACAGAAAGGCAAACCATGCTTAAGTCAGCACTGCTGTGCATCTTCATCTCAAGCAAGCAAGGCAGCAACAAAATTTTCAGTTATCAACAGCAGGACGCTACCATCTCACTGCCACCAATTTTCGTTTTGGGAAATTCGACCACAATGAAAAATAACAGAAAAGACAAAAAAGAACTCGCCACATTTTCCCGCTTCCGTCACGGGGAGCGCCCGATTAGTAACTCACGCAAACGGAGCATGGCAGCAAGCACTGCTACCAGACCACCTACAATTACCTTTTGAATGAACGTCCCCCAGCAGTTCTCAGCAGTGTCTACCAGCCCCAGAGACTTGGTCTCTGATCTCATGGCGTTGATAATTTCGTCTTTATCTTCTTGCGGAAACAAGTCGGGGATTTCCCCAGCGGACAGCAAGTCGTTTATGAAGACGAGCATCTTCTCGTCCACGATCTGCGAGTCGGTGAACAAGAACATGATGCCCTCTCCCTTGACCCCCGACCGCTTGTACATCTTCTGCAGGTCCTCCTTGAAGTTGTTCAGGTTGTAGCTGCCCGAGATGACGATGGTGTAGGTCGCGTAGCCGCAGATGTGGGCGGCCAGCCGGGAGAGGGACTGCTTTCCGGAGCCGCCGACCCCCACCAGCAGGGCGTGGCCTGAGTTGTTGGATATGATGCGCGATATGCGGCACACGTGCTTCATGGCGTCTTCGAAGAGCACCAAGTCCATGACGGCGTTGGTCTCGTTGTACTCGTCGAGAGCCTCCATCAGGATCTTGTAGATGGACTTGAAATCGGACACCTCGTTGTAGACCTTCTCTCCCAGGCCGCCCGCGAAGTGGCAGAAGATGAGCGGCTTGGGGTCCTTGGCCTTGTAGTAGTCGTCGATGTCGGAGACGTTAAAATACTTCTTCGCTATGGCGCACGCGGCCTTGTTGTAGGTCGCCAGGTCCTGGGGCGACACCAGGCGGTCCGCGTACACGCGCTCCGACTCGTGAAGCCACAGCCTGCCAATTTTGGTAGTGGAGTTGAAGTCGTCGGGCGTGGACATGAGCAAGCCCTGGAAGACGTTGGCCAGGTGGCGCACGGTGAACTCGTAGTGGAAGTTGACGGCGGTCTTGCGGAACGTGGTGGCCACCTTGTCGTGCAGGGCCAGGGCGGCCTGCAGAATCTTGGTGCCCAGCTCCTGCACGTCCGAGTTAAACTGCTTCAGGTGGCCGGTAAGGAAGGTGCCGTAGATGGTCATGAGGGAATCCTGGCCGGGGAAGTCCATGGCCAGCGTCATGAACAGGCGCTGCAGGCGGGGGTTGATGATGAACGAGCCGGCGGTGGGGTTCATGCAGGCGATGTACTGGGCGTTGTTGATATTCTTCTGCGTGAGCTTGGCCCTGTCGAACCAGTGGCCCCAGCCAATCTGCTGCCGGACGAGGGATATGGGCATGGCCGTCTCGTAGGGATCCAACTTGGGCATGTTCATGTCGTCGATGAAGTATATCAGCCGCTTGGTTCCCGGCGGGCCGTAGTTGATGCCCGCCTTCTTCTCCAGCGGCGATTCTAGAACCTTCTGAAAGCTGATCACGTCCGTGAAGTAGTTGAAGCTGATGCCCAGCGACATGAGTTCTTCCGGCAGGGCCGCCAGCTTGCCCTTCACCAGCTGGGTCTTCCCCACGCCGGCACCCCCCACGAACATTATGGGCTTCCTCAGGTCCACCATCATGTCCAGAAAAAACCTGAGGGAGGCCGTCTCGGCGGTGGGAACGAAGACATTCGCCATGGGCACGCCAGGCTCGTACTGGACCTCCGTGACCAACTCAGCCCAGGGTTGGAATTTGGCGGTCTTCGGGTTTACCAGGTAGTCGTAGACGGTGCCCTTCCCCGGTATTTTCACGGACGTCCAGCTTTGCTTCCACCACTTGTCGAAGTTCTTCCTGTAGTTGATCCCGTCCTTCTCGCACAGCGCGCTTCCGAAGGCCCATATCATGGCGAAGGCGAAGTACATCTCGAAGAGCGCCTGGTCGGCCTTGTTGCTCACGTTCTCGGGCTTCAGGCAGCCCTCCAGAATGTTCACCAGCGTGGTGACGAAGTTCATTGTCGCCAGGGGCGTGATGGTGGAGAATGACTTCTTCATTTCGAATATGGAGGGACCCACGTACTTGTCGAACATCTCCGCCAGCCAGCCCACCGGCACATCCGGGTCCTTCCATTTGGCGGCCACCGCGTAGGGGCGCGCCACGCGCTGCAGCCAGCTCTGCACCATGTTGTGCCACTGAAGCCCTTCAGAGATGAAGAGGATGCCGGCGCGTGTGGCGGTGGCGGGCGTGGCAAATTTGAGGTCACGGATTTCGAAGATGAGTTTCATGTGCGTGAGGAGGCGGATGCGCTCGTTGGAGGGCAGGGTGAGGAGGCGGTTGTCGTCCATGACTGAGTTCATGGACTCGATCCAGTTGGCGTCCAGGTCGCCGTCCAGAAGTATCCACTTCGGGTTGTCGTCCGGCACGTTGGCCAGCTCGCGCATGTTGTAGGACAGCAGGCCGTCCTTCCACTCGCGCGTCGCCATGTTGACGTAGCCGTACAGCTCCTGCGTGCTGATGCTCTTGGGGTTGATGTCGCGAATGACCACCTTCTTTCTGTTGGTCATCTTCAGGTAGTCGTTCACGGGGGCGTCGCAGCCCTTCGTCATGGCCTTGGCGAGGACTCTGCAAGGTTTAGGAGGCCTTTTTCAATGAGCGCGACGCTTTCAAAGCACTACCGGTTGCGAAATGGAGAAATGCGCCTCAAATTGCAAAACTGGGAGACCCTGTCGGCAGTTTCGGAAATAAAATTGCTTCCGCATTGCATACTCGTGACAAGAATATTTTTAAGACGCTGGTACGCCACTTGCTCAAAGTTGCGTGGTACAAAATAGGCGGTCGATGTGAATTCCGGTGAGCTTGCTATCGAGTTCACTCACGCAAGCAGCTGGACAGAAATTTGGGTCTAAACAGTTGGCCCGAGGACAACTGGTGCTGCCATCCACGACGGAGTTCTTCAGGAGGTGCGGCGAAATCCAGTCACCTACCTGTAGCACTCGGTGCGCCCCACGCCAGTGGGCCCCATCAGGAACACGCAGTGCCGAATGGCCAGCAGCTCCGACAGCTGGACGACCCTCAGGATGAAGTCGTCCTCAACGGTCAGGCCCATTTCCCTCGTCGTCTCCGTGATCACCTTCTCGAATTCGTGGTCCCGCTTCCTGGGCGGGTCGACGCCCGGGAACAGGTCGTTCAGCAGCCCCATGAAGATCACCATGTCCTGCGCCAGAATCTTGGGAATGTTGAAGTCCCTGAGCGCCCGGAACAGCACGTCCGACTCCACCTGCCCCTCCTCGGCTCGGAGCAGCGAGCCGGCCACCACCAGCACCGACTTGATGGCCCTCAGGCCCCAGTCGTAGTGCTTCTGCGGCGACAGCAGGTCCTCCAGCAGGTAGTACAGCGACGCGAACTTCTTGGCCAGCATGCGCGCCTCCACGAACCCCTCCGCCATGAGCATGTTCTCCATGATGAGCTGGCGGTCGGGCACCATGACCGTGATGGGCCGGAAGAGGGCCTTAAGGGACTCGGGCAGCTCCGCGCGGCCGATGTACCCCGGGTTCATGGTGATGAACGCCGACGTGCCCTCCTCGAGGGGCATCTCCACGCCGTCCGCCGCCACGAAGGTCCACCGCTCTATGGCCGGGTGCTTCACGCCCTCCTTGTCCTTGTATTCGAGACCGCGTCCCGGCAGCAGCGACTTGCGCTTCTGCGCGTCGGTCACGCACTTGTACTGCGTGGCGCAGACGGACAGCACCTCAGGCACCAGTCGGTTGAACTCGTCGAAGCAGCCCCAGGAGCCCGAGGCCGCCAGGCCCTTGAAGATGTCCCCCATGGTTCGGTAGTCCATCTCGGGCGCGCAGTTGAAGACGTATATCGACTTTCCCAGCTGGGCGGATAGGTCCTTGGTGGTTTCCGTCTTGCCGGTGCCGGCGGGGCCGGCGGGCGCCGTGCCCAGGCACAGCCAGCACGCCTGCGCGGCCATTAGGGATTTTAGGGTTGAGACGACTGCACCGGAGTTTAAAGTTTAGGAGCCGCTCCTGACATGCTGCTGTCGGCCGCTCCGCGGCGATGGACAATTGAATGGCACGCCGAAGGTTCAGATCGAGACGCGTTTGAAGCACTCGCAGCAATCTCGTGCTCTCAAGTGCCACTGCCCGCCAGTGTCCGAAACATGCCTTAGGGTGAGCGCGGAAAGAGATCAACAAACAAAGAAGCAAAAGAAAAAACCGTTGAAGGCACCCTTGCCAGCAACGTGAGAACCCAGAAAACAAAGTGAAAACTGAACAACGAGCAGGACGAAGAACGGCAACGAAGGAAAGGAGACAACCATTCCTTGCCTGCGTGGCGGTTATGTAGATCCTGTCCGTCAGCGGCGTGATGACCAGCCTTGGGCCGTTCCCCAAGTACTCGTACCCGTACGGAAACGACGCGTCGCAGATCTTGATCCTGCAGTCGTCTATGGACGCGTCCCAGTAGCTCCGCATCTGACACACCCACTGGAAGCAGTCCACCTTGTCCGCGCCGGCCTCGTTGACGCTGTGCACCATGTCGCGCGAGTGCGCGTCTATGGTGATCATGCTCATGACCTTTTGGCGGTCCGCCTTGGCCAGGTCGCCGCGGGTGACCTCGATGAGCTTGGTCAGCTGCTGCATCTGGAATTCGTTGTACTTCTTCATGGCGTCCTTCTTGCCGTTCGAGAGCTCCTCGAAGGCCTGGGGCAATGACATGAGGGCTCGGATCCCCGCGATTTTCGTCTCCTTTCTCCATCGCCTCTTTCAAATGTTCTCGGTACAGTTGACAGTGCTACCGAAACTGGCGATGTTAATGGCAAGTACTGGCGCCCATCTTTGGTAAAATGGGGTTGTCCGAGAAGCAGCAAGTCGCCCTCTTCTTCAATAACAACAGCAATCCGAATACACCGCTAATTCCGCAACGGCAAAAACATTTATGACAAGCAGCACAATGCATGTTAGCCTTGTGCCCGCGTTGCCCTGGCAACGTATTTTCTATTTCCTAAAATTCTCGACTCCCGCATCTCAGGCCGCCGACCTCCTTTGCTACAAGTTCTGGACACTCGCCGTCGCATGTCGATAACTCATCTTTTTGCATGACATTATGAATGCGTAGATTGCGGCAATTGATAAGTGCGAAGAGACTCACCTCCTCGACCTCCTGCACCCAGAATATTTGATTCACCACAAGGATGATCTGGGAAGGCCAGTCGAAGATCCACTTGTCCCTGTCCTTGCTTGGATAGTCCTCCACGGACTGTTTTAGGATGACGCGCAGCTCCTCCCTCATCTTGCTGATGATAGCGTTCATATACTCCTCCACCTTTTTGTCCATGGTCATTGGAATGGAAGCATCTCAGAAAATCGGTGCCGAAATGTGCCACTACTTGCTTGATGACTTGCTGTGTGCCTCGCACTGTTAATGAATACACCATAATGTAGGCATATATCGTAAATAGCACTTGTTGAACTTGCATCATACAAAGAGCATAGAACTACGCGAAAAAAATGCATAGCACTGTGTAGAGCTTCAAAAAATATATGTCCACGCTGCGCATGTCTTTGAACTGCAAGGCAATACACTTCAGCATTACTTGCGCATGATGTCATGCCGGTTCCTTTACATCAGTTCATTACACAACTGGGAAGGACAGTGAGGACGGGAAAGGAGAACTTCAAAGTTTCGAAATTTTCGTCAAAGTGGTCATCTCCCTCACCTTGTTTTCGAGCGGCAGCGGCGATTTGAACTCGACATACTCGACGCCCACGCAGGAAACCATGCCCATCGCGCTGGGCCGCTTTCCCGGAGGCGGGTTGTCGTCCAGTAGCTTGAGTTTGTCTATGGCTTGGAAGCACTTGGACATATGCGTCATCACCTGCGGCTCAAACCGAGCTTCAGCGTCACAAGACTGGAACGCATTCGCCCACTCCACGCAGTTTCGGTCCGTTCGCTCACAATGATGATTTGGTGTGAGTCGCTTGTCAGCTATGCACATGCGCATTGAAGCGGGGCCAAGTGGTAACCGCAAGAAGAAAGGAAAAAAAAACGAACAAAGAACCGGTGTTATTGAGACTTTTGGCCAGCGATGAATTCCTTCCTGAATAACAATTCCGTGCATTGGGTATGCTTATTTGGGATTGCGGTGCATCATGTTCTGGATGTGGTCATATCGTAGCCCATATCCCCACGTTTTTCACGACATCGAGCGACCGTATCCCAGATATGCATGTGCAGGGTCCGGGCCCACATTGCATTCCACAGTCATGACATGCGCAAGTGTATGCAACATTCTTGTCACGGCACGTCAGGAAACGTATCTTGTACAGGCATATCCGGAATATGGCCATATACTAGAATACGGCTTTCCATATCTTGGGATGCGCCCATGAAGCCGAGCATGTCCTGGATGTGTAGCATTCATATCCAGGAAATGGAGATTATTGAGATGCACAACGGCATTATAAAAGTAGGATCAAGCCGTGCATATAAACTTAGATCTGGTGCCATTTTCCAGCATCTTCAGGCGTGGGAACCCACCTTGATTGGGCTGTTTCCGTTCGACAGGATGTCCAGGAGATCCGCTGTGGACACGAAGTAGAATCTTGGGAACTTCCGCCTCTTGCTCTCCATGTAGTCCGCCAGGGCTTTTTCGCATATTTCCAGTTTCGACTGCTGCAGCTCCAGAAATTTCATGAGCCCCTCCTTGTTGCAGCACGCCACGCAGTTCTTGACCTCTTTGAACTCTGCCAGTACCTGCGAGCCGCCGTCGGATACAAAACGTAAACGCAGGCCGCGCGAATATCGTTTGCCTCAGAACTCTGCTCACTTCGTCCCGAAGGGGCGAGATGGAGAACATCATCTATCATAAGGAACATACGCACTACGGATAGATTCCCCATTACGTGTTCTCAGCAGTTATTTCTGTGTCGCTATCAGTCACCTCGGCTCTTCAATGTTTCTCTCCAGCTACATTTGCATGTGTTCTCTTAGCTCACGCGCTGCTCCCTACGCGCTCTGCCCCCAAGACACGCAATGGCTGTGCGCCGCAGCTCTTCAGAGTGAATCAGTCCTTCGCTAAATCACGGCGCACCATCTGCCGAGCCCATGCGTGCGATCAACGTTCCAACGGATTGAAATGTCGCTTCGGTCTTCGAACGCACCGATTTCGTATCTTTGTCTATCTGCTCGAATCTTGTCGTCGCCTCCGGCAACTCCTTTTTCACCTCCTCGGAGTGTATGAACAGCGATTCGAGGTACGCCCAGGTGCGCTGGATCTCCTGGAGGATCTGGTTGACGTCCGCGGTGTTCATGAGCTTCTTGTTCCATCCCAGGATGGGGTCGCGGAACGTGTTCATGTACCGGTTGGCCATCATTCCTTGCACCAGGACTTGGTTGTCTTCCAGCGTCTGGGCAAAGAAGGCAAGGACTGAAGCAGCGCTATGGGCAGCGGGAGACCGGCGCTGAACTTCGCGCGTGGCGTTTGCCGCAAGGTCGTGGAGAACAACAACAACAACGAGATTTTCTACAAATGGTGCTGTGACAAATATGTGCATGTCACTGTTCGTGCTGTACCCGCAATACATGACCCATCTGCATGTATCATGGCCACGTCCAGGGCCGCCCATGTGTCACCCACTACCCACACAAATCAGAAAAGACTATTCCGTGGAGCAGCGCCACACGGCGCGTGGAGAGCAGTGCCCTTTCTGTTTAAAGACAATATCGGGCTCGACGCAGCTAGCGGGGATTGTTCATTTCGCGCGCAATCACTTGTCTGGTTGTGTGTCAGTACGCAGCACGGAGGCCTATCGAAAGAAACGTTAGCATACACCCCTGCAAGCAAACTCACATATGCGAACAGAAGTTGGGCAATCGAATCATGCATCGCACGGGGAGATTACTCACAAAAAAAACAGCTTCATTTGCAGCACATCTCATCTGATGTGAAAATCTCCTGCTTCAGTTTGTGCCAGTATTTGCTTGCACTTGTCGGTCTCCCTCTTTAGCAAATCAGATTTCTGAAATTCAGAAATCAGGCACAGCTGATCTGCATTAAATGTAGCAACATTTGCGCAACATCAAGAAACCTGGCTGGCCGTTCTAAAAGGAACTTGGAACAAAGATCATTGCCAAGAAAACCGCCCACCTCAAAGTCCTCTTCCGCCATTTTGACGGTGTACACGTCCGTGTCTTTGTGCTGCACCAACTGAAACTCGCACTTGCTCCACGTCTCCTCCAGTTTCGCCAGAGACTGCTCCATTTTCTCCTCTTTTTGAGCGCGGTCCACAATCTCTCCGACCTCGTCCTCAAACTTGTGGAGCTCCAAAGCAAGGAGGTCGTCCAGTTTGAAGTTGGCGTCGATGGTGAAACGGACCTGCCGCGTCCATGGCACGCATTATCTGATGTCCTAAAGCTACATATCGTGTAACGAGCGCAAGATCGCACCTGACACTACACATTAATCTGGGTGCGTTGATCTGCTCAGCAGGGAGGCATCCAAAGGGAAACAATCTTAAGCTACGATGGCCAATTGCAGCTTCTTCACTCGAGGTGCACAATGCGCGACTATTGGCAGCATCACAAGAGTCATATCATGTTTGTATTCATTCGGCAAATTTAAGCAACAAACTAGCAGAGTTGCAAATTTCCACTCATGTACAGTAATATGGCTAAATCATAGGCTGCCCATGCAATTTCCTGGCTGCAAACGCACAATGTGCTGTCGGCAATTCAGCCAAGATGCTGGAATGGCTCCTCAGTTTCTTGCAAAGATGTTGACACAGTTGCCAAACATTGTCAAGGGAAGCTTGACAGTGATCACCCATCGCCGTCGTTATTACTTCCTTCATTTTTATGTCGCGATAGTTCGACAATGCAAATCGTTGCATCCTGTGTTGGTACCTTCGTCGTGTCCATGAGCTGCTCCCAGTGCCTGTCGCGCATAGCGGGGCTTCTCAAGTCAGCCACAAGAGGGATAGACGTCAAGAAATTCTTCACCGACAAGTCCACGCCCTTGAAGCAATTCTCTTCTCGGATCCGCTTAGGGAGGCCCTTCACTTCCTTCACGAAGGCCTTGGCGCCGTCCTCCATGACTTCCGTCTTGATGTCGTCCCAGAGGGTTTGCCTCCAATCCTGTCAGGCAGCCGAGTACGGCAACTGCTCATCAAGTAAACATCCAAGGTGCAATTTCCAGCAGGTGTGATGCACGTCACATCACCAGCTGGCCGTATCTGGCGCGCTGTCCATGCGGTGGTGAATGCCACGAGTCAAGTTTGCTTGCAATGTGCAAGCCGTGTACCACGGTTTTTCTGCCTCTCAGTAGATACTGAAGCTTCAATTTGTTCGATTATTTCTGAATCACTGTTATTTGTTGTTACCAAGCTTACGTTTATCATTACATTTATGCATAGCGTCTATTTGTCAACAATGCTGCATCAAATTAGCGCCCATATAGAAGCACTCAATGTACAGAAAGGGCGTCGCCCTCCGAGGCTGAGCCCACATCTTCCTCAATTAAACAACCACAGACCAGCCCGATTTTATTCATCGCCCTTTTCTATTCGAAATACTATTCGTATTTCGAATACTACAGAGCACTTGAAGCGCCATCGGAAACGGAGCGCATCATGTTTGCTGACCTGGAACTGCGTCTCGCACAGCGCCGACGTATCCCACACGTCCTTGACCATGATGAGCTCATTCCGCACGGTCTTGATTGTCTCCCTGACCCTGTCCATGATGTCGGGGAACTCAAACACGTTCGCCAGCTCGTTGTAGTCATTGCACTCCTTCTCAAAATCGATGATTTCGAGGGCCACCTGAAGAGCACAACCTGGCAATCGTCTGACTGAACTCCCTGTGCTGGCGTAGGGCGCTGTCTCTTCAACAGAACAAACGTTGCCATTGATGAAAAATGCACCTGAGGGCACGGATGACACCACGCGATTGTAGAAATTGGAGAAATGGATTGGTTATTGGGAGCCTTTGAGAATATTGAACAATTAAGATTCTTCTTTCAAGAAATCGGATCACTCTTTTGCGCGCTCCGCACTGCCAGCACGCAGACTGAACGAATTGATGATGAGAGGGCACGAAGACCGGACGAGACTGGTCGAGACGGGACAAGGCGGGGCGAGGCGGGACGAGACTGAACGAGGCTGAAGGAGGCAAAGCGATGCCGTATGAGTTCCAGTGAGAAGGAACGTGACAGTACGCGCTTGGACGAGACGGAACGAAGCAAAACAGAAGTCAACGAAACGGAATGAGACGTAGTGAGACAGAATGAGAAAGGTCGAGACGGAATGAGAGCGGATGATACGGAACGATAGGTGATGTCACAAGCAGGCGACGCAATTTGAGAACGTTACTCAAGTTACGCGCCAGAGGATACGCGACTTGAGCACGCTCAAGCAGGAAATGTATCCCTACATCAGCTTTCAAGCGGTTTACGCACAGAACGACCTTGTTCACAGTGCTCGTCTATCTCTCCTCCACAACTCACCTTGTCAACTTCAGGGTAAGATGCCTCATACCCCGTGGCATACTTAAAGAAGTCCTTCTGATAGAACGCGACCTTGTACTTGTTGACGCGCAGAGTGAACTCCTCGATCTCTTTCTGAATCCTATCGCCCTGCGACGCCTGGATGGGCTGCACGTCGGTCTTGACCTGGGGCTGCGTCTTTTTCACAACGTCCCACCGCTGCCTGGCGTCCTCCAGCCGCTTCTCGGCCTTGGCCACCGGCACCTTGTGCTTCCCGAGGAACAGGAAGCACTCTTTGAGCTGGTCGATCAGAAGGTCGGTGTGGCTCTTTTTGAATTTGATCTGGGAGGGGGGTCACGCCGCGTCGATCAAAATTTGGCGGGGGCGATCGCCCGATGCATTGCAGGCACAAAACACAGTGGGCTTGTGTTGGTGTATTGGGAAGCAATAGCCGAATTGCGCGCAACAACCAGGCCCAATGATTCATGTGACTCAACACTTATTGTTGTGTGCAACTGATTGCAACAAGCATGTGGGAACAATCTAATTATGCAGCCACTGCTAAGTGATGACATCACCCGCGAACCAACACATAGTTTCAACGGGAGTCAGTCAATTCGTATCAAATTCGACAAGAGCAGATCACCTTCCCAATTTAACAACGACATTAGCTCATGGTGCCGATTTCGACGGGCCTGCAAGATTAAACAAACGCAAAACGCAACAATCGAAGCGCGCTGCGCACCGGCAGGTACTGAGATGCGAACAGGCCCGTTGGCATGGCATTACCCCAGCATCCCCTATAAGCTGCAAGGGCAGTGTTTCGTCAAGTTTTGTTTGGCAATGTAATCGCCGATTTCAGCGGCGCGCTGGCTTCCACATGATGTTGTTACCCGCGAACAAACATTAGAGCTTCAATGCCGGTTGCTCAGGTCGATTCAACTCGACACAAGCCAATCAACTGTTAGAAATTTCAACAAGCACATTAGTCCATGACACTAAGTTCAATGCATCATCCCGCAGCATCAACAAATGAACAAACACCAAAGACCGCAAACCGCAACGATCGAAGCGCGCCGCTCGCCGGCCTTCACCTGATACAGCGAGTCCATGACCTTCAGCAGGGAGTCGAACTTCTGCGACAGCGACTCCAGGTTGGAGGCCAGCTCCAGGCCCTTGCCCTGCCGGTCCACCCAGCCGTCCAGCTCCTCCAGCAGGGCGTACGCCTCCTCCCTCATCTTGGGCACAAACGCCATGGACTCTCTCACCGCGAATACGTCCAGCGAGCTCGCTATGTCCAGTTTTGGGGACCCCGCACCCGCGTTCAGCGTCACAAGCTTCCGGTCCACCAGGGCCGCGGGGGCGCCGTGGGACAACACGAGGCCGGGGTCGCCGTAGTACACCATGGTCCACTCCATGGTGGCGACGTCCAGGGTGTAGGCGTCGTTTAGGGGCTTGCCGTCGGGGCCCAGGCCGCCGTACAGGAGCAGGCTGCCCGGCTCGACTTCGCTGAAGAGGGCGTTGGTGCGGGGCCCCGGCCAGGTCGCGCCCTCGGCGGGCGTCACGGTGTGGCACCTGAGGGCGTTGTTCTCCACCTTGTTTATTCCGGAGTGTTGGATTTTGTTTCAGCGCGCAGGTGCTACCGTCTTGCTGGCAAAAGCATATGCAGACCTGGTGCCGCCCATTGCGAAAGCGCAAAGCGATGCAAGAGCTCAAAATGTTACCATCCAAACGGATACTCAATCCCAGAGGAGTGCGGCAGTCCGGGGAGGGCCCGACATATCAGAAACCAAGGAAAATCATAATGGTCTGCTGCTCGCTCTATTGTGCCGAGTCGAAAAGAGGGCGTTGTCAATGTTCGTTCCACTGAAGTGACGAGTGAATGCCGTGTCGCCCGCACTTACGGGGGCAGCAAACTGTTCAGTCCGTATCGCCAGCGCCCATCAGAGGGGACCCCGCACCTGAGGGTGTTGTCGGCGTCGGGCTCCACGACCACCATGTCGTCCAGGTGGATGGTCTCGTCGTCCTCGTTGAGACAGGAGCCGGAGTATATGTAGAGGTGGCCTAAAGTGGCGGCAGCGGCGGCGCCCTTGCGGGCGCCCGGCAGGCCCTCGATCTTGGACGCTGCGGTCTCGGAGACCTTGCTGAAGGAGGTGTCCAGGAGCTTCAGTTCCCTGTGAGTGTGCGGCGCATGGCGATCTGGGCGACTTTCTTGTCCAAAAGGCTGTGGGTGTTTTTGTTCCCGAGCAAGAATGCTTCTGCATAAGATCTGATCCAGGTTTGGGGAATCCAGGCAGTGCGCCAATTTACCCCCAATTGTTCTCCTGGAATTCGAACCGCATGGGCGGATTGGCATGCCGCCTGGGAGCGCAACAGCACGTGCTTCTGCAGTCGACAATTGCCACGGCATGCCCACTCATAATCCGTGCATGCAGTACATTGCAACACGTTCGTCACGTGTGAAACTTCCCGTGACACCCTGCGTCTATAACTCCCGACATGAGCCCAAACTCAGGTGCCATAAGCGTTGCTAGTAGGTTATCCAAGAATCATTTCAGTTCTCGAAGTGCCATGCCTCACGCCCATTTGAATGCCCCTTCTCTGGCGAGGTGAGCACACACATATACTTCTGGTTACCCGCGGCTGTCGAGAGGAAACCCACCAGAAATGCGGCTGGGCCTCGCTCTTGGCCCACGCAAAGCCGGAGTCCGTCGGCACCATGCTGTACACGGCCTTCTCCTCCTCGTCCGTGGTCAGGCTGCCCTTCCCGTACACGACGCTGCCGTCCTCCAGGGCGGCACACTGCGTCACCTCGCCGGCCTTGGGCCCCTGGCCCTCGACGCCAGCCACAGCCCACTTCCAGTCCTGGCCCTCCGTGTTGCATACGCACACGCCAGACTCACTGGCCCCGTAGACCACGAGGTCCTCCCCGAGGGCGCACACCTGCAGCCCCTTCTTCACGTTCGGGGTCGATCCCATGACCCTGTGCCTGTTCCAGGGGTCCTTGCAGTCCACCTTGCGCGCAAAAACCAAAGCCAGAACGCTTCAGAAACGACTTGGGCTTGTTGCTAAATTCCAAAGTTTGGCAAATTTGATCTCCGATTTATCAACTCTCTTTTCAGGTGTGGTGGACCAAGGGGCTAACAGTTTTGCGATTTAATTTTGCGGCCGTTCTGCCCCAGATCTGCCTCCAGATGGATTTTACCCTGGAGACGGACTATACGGAAACGGCGTTTTCGGCAGCTGCCATCAGCTCATGGGCGAATTGGCACCGCTTCGCCATGTTTTGAAAATCGCTCCATCTCGGTGACGATGTAATAATCACAATGAACAGCAATGCCACACACTAACTGCACAATGATCCTCATGCTCATTGGAACAGCCCACACTCAGGTAACCGCGGGAATCCGCTCATGTTGCTGAAGTTTTGGCAGACTGCCAAGAATGCTGAGCAAGAATAAGGGTGATATTCCAAAAATCAGTATTGCTGCGAATTCTATTCCCTGCCACATATTTAGCGTGGCACAAATACCATGTTAGATCGTACCTTGAGTGCATTAACGCACGATTTTCAGCAATTCGATCCGATTCAAGCAAGGAAAGGAGTGTCCCATTTTCGGCAGCGCCGCCACACCTTGAACGGCGACCCGCGCGTGGGGATGTCCTCCGTCTTCTCTCCCAGGTCCTCGTGTGTCACGTGCACGAGGTACTCACCCGGGGACGGCACGACGTAGAAGACCTCGTACATGCCGTTGTCCTTGTCCGTCATGCGCACGCGGCCCTCCAGTTTGCCGTCGGCGGACACCACGCGGACGCGGAACTTGTCGCCGCCGCTCTGACGCTTCTCGTTAGCCGTGTCGTAGGCCTGGAGCAGCGCAAACGGCAAGGCCATCCCAATTCCATTCTTTCTCGGCTCTAAATATCAGGCAATGATAAGATGTGATTTTATTGAGTTATTTTTTGATATGTGATGACGATGAGATATGTTTTCATTCTTCCTGCTCATGTACGCCGAATGGCGTTCTCGCTTCAATTGGTTTCAGTAGTCAAGTGCCATTTTTATTACCGAAGACGAACAAACGCGATAGCGCTTATGCGAGCGCAATCCAATGAAGCTAAAAGAATGCCAGACTGATAATTTTTGCCAAAAAAGGAAAGGGCTAATACGCGGGAAAGTTGTATGCATAAAACTCTCACCCCATTGCTTGTTGGAGCATTGTAATTTTATCATATGTTCTGTGAGTGCCCAACATCCTACGCACTGTGTCACTGATGCGAAAGCGCATTTCGATCACCATAAATGTAAATTACATATATAAGTTAATGAAAGTTTTGCATGGCCGCTGAATTCTTCTCTGTGTGTCTTCAGAATAAATTGCCGAACTGTGCACTGTTCAGGTGATCAAGTGATAAACCCGAAATACGATGATCTTGGCATGCAGGAACTGGTCGCCAGCGCTGGTTCTCGGGGCGCTCCAATCGAAGCTAGATCGAGGGTACTAACGTGTTTTGAAGCACGACTTTGGCTTCATTCGGAATCGTGCGCAGCAGTGGATGGTCCACCAGGAATATCATTCGACGTCTCCTTCAACATGGGTGGGCCCGATTCTGTCGTGCACAGTACCGTAGTATATTCAACCCTTCCGCGGCAAAAAACTGTGCCATTACGCTTTTTGCTCCGCGTCGTCTTTTCAGCGTAATTTTATTTTTCGCGTTTCTCGCAAAGAATTTACTTAAAAAGGTTATCCACTTTATTGCTTTCTCCGCAAAAGAGTCAAAAACTACGTTAATATGCGGCGAGGTTGAATATGCTCCGGTATTCAGTGTGTCACCGGGAATTCAATCCACAAGCGAGACAATCAGCCCACCTGAATCATGAGGGGCATCTCCACGCCAAAGTAGCCGCTCGAAAGCAGGCCGGGTCCGAAGGCGAGGCAGTTCCTGGCAGACGTGTTGGCGAAGTAGTTGAACATGATCCTGTTCACCGTCCAGTCGTCGCCGCCGATGGACACGCGCACCTCAACGCCCATGGCGCCGTAGGTCTCGTAATTCGGCGTCTGGCATGTCAGCGTCTCTCCGTCCACATACCCGCCGTCGGCGATGATTTCGTTCTTGCCGGCGCCGAAGCGTACCTGGAGCAACGGAAAGACGGAGAATTCTGTCTCAAGCAACAGAGCTGTTGGACGTCTGGATAATGCAAGTACACTGCTGGTTTTTGGCGTTTAATGTAATGCGAACTCCGCTACAAGTAGAAGAGTTGTTGTTCATGTGGATAGTGGCAAGTGTACTGTCGGCGTCTGGTGTTTACTGTAAGGTCTGTAGATGTGTGATGGGCACCGCGTGAAGCAAATGGCTGAAAAGCAGGCCGAGAGTGGTGTGACGCAGCCCCCCTGGCCGGGGAAATGCATGAATGGCAGCGCTTCAAGTGATCCCAAAGCAACTTAGAAAAGTTGGCACAAAATATGGCACGAAGGCTGCAATCCATTACCCAATCACTTGGCTGCTATTGGTCGGCGTACATCGCCAACCCTATGGATTCTAGAGCCTTCGGCAAACCGTGGGGAAACGCCTACCCCCGCCTGTTAACTTCACCGAAAAGCATGGCAATTAGACGATGCATATAGCAGTTTATGTTGTTACAAGTTACAGGGGAAGCAATGCAACATGTCAACAAAGTGAGAACATAGAAGGAGCACGGAGCAAGGACCAGCCGAGCCAAATAGTTCGTCGTCCTGTCATTTCTGTAGGTCCTGCTATCCTCTGATACATGAGCACAAAAGCCGAGTAAAAGAGCAAACTATTTATTTCGACAGAACGGCGTGACGGTAAAGCAGCATCAGAGTGATGGAGAAAAGGGCGACAGCTCCCTTCCTCGGCGTTTACCTGGCATTTTCCGTCCCTGAATCTCAAGCCCTTCACAGTGATCTCGGTCCCTCCGAAGACGGGCCCGATCTCTGGGGATATCCTCGTGCAGGCGTAGGGCGGGCCAATGATGCTGGACACGCTAAGCTTCCACAAGTCGCCCAACCACCGATTTGCCCAACCGCCGTACACCAGCATGCTGCAGGCCTTCGTGTCGTACACCCACGCGGCGCCTTCTCTAAACAGCCAGCGAAATCTCTCGCCTCAGCACATTCCATTTACGATCAACTGCGCACATATAAGAAACAGTGAACATTGTTCCGAAAGGCGTACTTGTGTGGGCTGCCAGTGAAATGCTCTCGCAGAGAATGCACATTTGACGCCCGATTTTGATCGTCTCTTCCATCTTGAATTTTGGCGAACCACGCACAGAAGCCGCGCTATGCAGAAACAAGCCGTATACCCGCAAGTTCAGCGTTTATACGCTTAAGTTGTGTACTGCGGAAAACGAGTGCCCTTAACTCACCATGTGCCGAGGCGGAACTCAGTCCCACACCTACACATTTTCGCCCCTAGTTTCCGCACGGTATTCTACTGAACCGCAGTACAAAAGTTACCACAACCGCACAGTACAAGACAACCGCAGTACAGGTTATTGCAACCGCAGTACAAGTAGTACAACAGGTTGCTCACCTGGGAGGCGGGTGGTCCCCCGGGTCCACGGGCGGCGACTGCCACACCTGGCTCCCCGCGTCCATGACCTCCACCCCGTTGCTGAACCGCATCATCATGTCCGTCTTCCCGCCAAAGCTGAACACCTTGTGGTACGGCACGCTCTCGATACTGTCCGCGATGTTGGTGCACGTCTCGTGCGCCAGGCACGGCGGCTGGACGCCGCCCTCCCACGTCATCTTGCCGAGGTCCATGACGTAGCTGTCGTGGAACATCTGCGTCAGGTCCCTGCCGCCGCTGATCAGCAGCTTGTCGAAGGTGTCGCTGTTGGGGGTCACGGGGTAGATGAAGGCGCAGTGGTCGAAACGGGGCGTGGGCCCCTGGCCGGACACCTGGTCCGACATCAAGATGTTCATTACATCGACACTGAGGGCATCTCAATCCCCGCTTTTCCGCAAAGGCGCTACAGCAGGAGCCCCTGTACATGACATTTGATTTGGGCTGAGATTTCCATTAACAGCGTGTCAGCCAACATGTGCTATGTCGCCACCCAGCCCCAAACAACACATGCCCATTGCTTGTCCCCGTGTGCGCCAGTGCGGGCGCACTGCCACTTGCCTCTGCATCGGGACGTGACAGTGCAGAAGCGCAAGTGTGGCTTTGAGCGTCAGACAGCGACAAGTCACCTGGTCCGATATGTTCTCCCATCTAAAGGTGTCCTCCGCCGTGTGCAGCAGCCACAGGTCGTCGTACACCTCGCCGTGGCCGCCGTAGCCGCCGAAGATGAAGACCTTGTCGAAGAACTTGGTGGCGGTGAAGTGGGCCCGAGGGGCCGGGGGCGTGCCCTCCACGGCCGGCTGCGACCAGGCCTTGGTCTTCCAGTCGAAGACCCAGACGTCGTTGTAGCGCTGGCGCTTGTTGATGCCCCCGAAGATGAGGAAGCGGTTGGAATCGATCTGCAAGTCCGCGTGCAAGAGTGAGAGTCGACTACAGACGGCCTTTCACAATTTTTGCCAATTTTCAACTTGCGCTCTTTTGGTTCCTCGTTTATTGCATTTTTAAACATCAATGCATATATTCGTCAATGCAGGCAAACGCACATTTCCACAGTATTCTGTCGAAAATCATTTCCCTTTTTGTGCATAATTACTTTGAAGTAGTGCACAAAATTAATCATTTAGTGATGTGTATGCATGTTCAAGCACAAACACCAAAGAGTTCCAGCTCATGGCCAATTATCCCAGCGCGACACAGCCATCAACAACCGACCCATGAAGGCTGCTCCCGTGGACGCCTCAGAGACGGGTCAAGCCAAATTGAGCCAACCCGGAGCTGATTCTGTCACCGACCAGGCCGCGATCGTTCTCAGTGTAAGCGCCGCAAGGGCCGGAAACGCACCACAATCGCGGCGTGCCTTGCCCTCGGCTCCGGAACGGAGCTGGCCGACACCTCCCGCCAGCCGTATCCCTCCTCATTGCTGGTATCCAACTCATACAGGTCGTTGAACGCCTGAGCCTTGCCTGAAAGCACCAACAGATGAGCGGGAGTGCAGCGGCAAAGAGTGGCATCTCGGCTGCACGCGCTGCTTCTTTCATATGCATGTGGAGGACTAGCGCGTGGGAAATGCGGGACTGTGCTTTGGAGAGAGGGAATGCCATCAAGACGTCAGTGCTCGTAGATTTGGCCGAAACCGCCAACTTGAAATGCTGCGTTGCTATCCAGCCCGCTCCGCAATTAGATGTGCAGGATCCGGCTGGCGCAGCAGCACGGCGCCAAAAGGAAGAAAACTTTTCATGCAGTTCGCTATGCGCCATACATGCACAGGTAGAGACGGACACACTGATGCTCGATACACGCACTCCTTGTGGCTCTCGCTTTCTTTCTTTGGATTGCGGCCAGCAAAAGCAATGATCACCATTTTTTCTCCCATAGCCCCCAAACAGCAGGTTCCTCCCGCCGACGCATGTGAAGCTGTGGCCAGCACGGGCCGCCGGCAACTCCCCGCTGACGGCCGGCTGCTCCCATGCCACAGACTGAATACAAAACACGCGTCGTTAGCACAAGCACACCGCCCTCAGCAATGACTTTCGCACCAAAGTTGGGGCATACCTGCTCATTGGTTAAAGTGCATCTTTCCGCCATCTTTTGGACACGGTTCACGGGGACAATACCGCCCCCGACAGGAATGTGGGTGAGGTTGTGGACTCATCAGATGTCTTCCAGTCACGGAAGGACCACAGCGAGCACTATGCTGCGTCGATGCTCTGTGCAATGTGGCTTGCCGACCCAGAGCAACGGCCCTTCTCCTGTCCCTTTCTTTGTCCATAATGGTTGCAATACTTGCGCCGTGTTGCACCGGCATATGCAATCCACACGGCATGCACAATATAGATACGCCGCGGCACTAATACGCCACAATACACCACGGCATCAACAATATAGATACAATTGCAACTGGGTCAGTGACACCTCTGATTTATTGGCCTTGGACTCACACCACCAAAGTACGTCTTGTTTCCAGCACTTGTTCCAAATCCCATACAAGTCCCTCACAGCTTGCGGTCTCAGACCCCTTTTCCGCGCCAACGCCCCGCTTCAAGCCGGGAACACAAGTCACCAGCGTCGCAGACCCGTAGAGCAGCGGACCTCGGGCCAAGGAGGCTAAACACGGCGAGCGACCCCCCCGCCAAGCGCGACCTGGTCAAAGAACCCTGCTCCAGCCTGCCTTGCACCCCTCCCTTTCCCCTCTCCCCACGACCCTTCCACTCACCATCACTCGCCGGCGGCCTCCCCACCTCCCCTGCCCCGCTCCCTTAAGGCCCCTTGCGCCCAAAATTCAAGGCCTCTTCGCACAGCCGACAGCCCCGAAGACCGCTTCCTTTGGGCGCCGTCGCCCTCCAAGACCCCCCGCCTCTCGCCAGGGTGCGTCCAGCCAACTCGTCTCAGCGCGGCTCACCGTTCGCGCCGACCCGCCGTGCTGGGCGTGTGCCGACGGACCGTCGCAGCTTGGGCTCATGACGACTTCATGATACAGTCGGCGGGCCTGAGGCGGGCTGGGCCGTTGACCCGGGGTGACCCGGGCAGCAGATGGTATGGCACGTGGACATCGTCCTGTTTTCTTTCTTCTTTTTTTCTTGGGGGGGATGGGCGGGGAGAGGAGGAGAGGGGGAAAGGAACATCAATAGTGTTGGTGGTGCATCGAGCGGTCGCAGGTCACTTGACGTGTTGCACTCCAAGTGCTTTCGGTTAGTTGTGGACGGGTACGTATTGAGGCGGGCAGGTAGCCTTCAGCTCCAATTTGCGCTCTGCACGGGCGGTGCGAGCGCACCACACAATGGGAATCCGAGGCCACATGGCAGAAGCCGAAAGGTGTCCGCCGAGGGATTTTTCAAACCGGCCAGTTCCGATCTTCCAGACACTCTCAAACGCTGTCAGCCTGCACGCTGCCAGTCTGTACTCTGGCATCGTTGCAAGCCATCAGTCCATCTTCTTGTGTAGTTCAGGGGTACAGTGGTGCACACAGGGGATGTATTGAGGCCGACGGCATGATAGGAGTTTGCCACCATGTGATAGGGACATCAACACTTTCCAGCATTGATGATCCATGCATTCGGAAACCAGAATGATGGCGAAAACCCCTGCAACCTGTCGACATCTGCTCAGGAAGCTGCACACACACTGCAGGGATGCGACAAAGAGATAGCCAAAGAAATAGGGCACTCAAAGCCAGCAAGTGCTTAACACGGCATTCTCCAACACTCATACGATTACATGATGTGTGAGTTCTCGCATCGACTTGGGATCTCAACAGAGGTTCATGGATGCAAAGAGTTCTGTGGGCATCCCTGCAGCCGAAGCAATAACTTTTGACATCTCGTTTCCAATCCCAACCTTCAAGTCAACTTCCCATCTCTGCATGTTACAGTGGAGACACTGCAAGGGCAGTTGCAACAGCAGCTGGCAGTGCAGAATGAAGAAAACAGTGAGCAACCTACACTCAGAGAAACAAACAAATCAATTCATCTTCTCGGCGACTACCTCCAATGCCGTGCGATCAACGGGGACATCGGCTATGGAACGATCCATCCCTTCAACAGTACCTGTCCCCCTTCCCAGACTCTCTGCACATTTGCTACCATCAGCACTGATTCACGCCCTGCTTCCGGCACGTGCGTCCTTCACGACTTGGTGACTACTGACCGCAGCACTTCGTTCGACACATGCTCCACCGTCTTGCCCTTCGCCTTGGCAAGCTCCTCCAGCTTCTCGTACACGTCGGGGCTAACTCCGACTTGCTGGAGATCGCCCACGTCTGCCATCTTGATGTATCCATTCTGGTACTCTCGGAGGGCATCAAAGCCCACCCTTGCGCAGAAGTCGCCGAAGCCCTCGTCCTGCTTTCGTTGCTGGCTGTAAAAGAAGAAGATGGGCTCCAGGACGGTCTCCATGTCGTTGAGCTTCATCCTGTCCATAAAGCACTCTGCCAGGCGGGTCTGATGCCGATCGCCACCTAGCCAAACCTAATAACATATCACACCAGAGGTAAGGGGTACATTGGTTCCACCTGTGTATGCACTGTGCCAGAAACACACAAGTCCATGCCATGTGTCTCTGCAAGCATCATCAACTGTGCTGCAGTTCATGGATTGTTGGACAAACCATCAATATCACTTACAATTCAAGCAGCACTGCAACATTAACGGTCACGGCCAACATTGCAAAACGACGGACCTCACATCCATGTTGGAACCATGCTTGTTTCTACATCAACACAATACAGCCAAGCACTGACTGGCGACCGCGAATTGACGCGCATGTCACTTTTCACAGCAAGCACAAGAGTTGAGGCCTCCCATTGTCCCACCCGCATTCCTTTGATCATCTTCATCATCGAATCCATTCATGACACTAGTGTAACAGCACAAGCGATGATCAGAGCCCTTTCTGCCACATGTGCTGCCACTGCAGCAACCAAAGCCAGCCTGCCCAGTTCTGGATCACTCCTACCTGATATGTATTGGGCCCATCGCAAACAAAGCCCAGCTCTGCCATGTAGGGCCTGGCACAGCCATTGGGGCACCCTGTCATTCTTATGACGATCGGCATCTCCTGCAGACCCACCGCCCTCATCAGGGTCTTCAATCGGTTGTTCACTCCCGGAAGTCCGCGCTCTGCCTCCCCGATTGCCAGTCCGCACAGCGGCAGGGCAGGGCATGCCATCGAGTAGCGCTCGATATCATCCAGCTCCACAACATCCACGACACCGCCTGCCGCCAGCGTCTCAGCAATGTCCTCCTTCCAGTCGGGCTTGATGTCTGTTAGGATGATATTCTGGTTGGCAGTGATCATTGTCGGCAGTTCGTAGCGCTCGATCACCTTGCGCAGGGCCTTCTTCACGTCCCCTTTCACCCTCCCATTCTGGATGTGTATCCCATAATAGTGGTTACCGTCTCCCTGGTCGCCCCAGCCAAGATAATCCACATTCTCCCAGGCAGGGAGGGGCTTGAAGGGTTGGAGCTTCTTTCCAAAGTACTGCTCCACCACAGACTTGAACTTATCAATGCCCCATGATGCGACGAGGTACTTCATCCTTGCCATTTTCCTGTCATCACGCCTCCCGTAGTCCCTTTGTGTTGCCACGATAGCTTTGACTATGTGGAAGATGTCATCTTTATCGACATAGCCCAACGGATCTGCAAGACGTGGAAAGGTGTCGTTGTTCCTGTGTGTTCTGCCCATGCCGCCACCCACCAAAACATCGAAGCCCTGCAGCTCGCCCTTCTCATCGCATATGACCACAAGGCCGATGTCGTTGGTCAGCACATCGACACTGTTGTCGCCGGGAACAGTGATCGCGACCTTGAACTTGCGGGGGAGAAACTGACTGCCATAGATGGGCTCAGGGGAGTCAGCGAAGTTGGTGCCGAACTTGTTGAAGGCCCGATCCTCCGTGACCTTGGGATTCTACAATCACCAGTACAAGAAGTTAGCCACCTTGATGCCTTCTTTTCTTCACGTTGTTGTGTCCCTGCACTTCATTTTGCTTGGGAGGCACCAATGGTTTCGAACTGAAGATTTTCAAGGTTTTGAAGGGGCTGGCAGTGCTTAGTGGCTGCAGTATACTGACATTTTGACCCCTGGTAGGCACAGGCAATTGGACAGGGACATCTGCAGATTGTGCTTGCATGGCCCGGTGGCGCATTATACTTGTTGGCGTGTGTGGTAAACATCAGAGTTGTGACACACGTCAAGCTTTTCACACGGCAAGTGCTATGCCCATGGACTGGCCCCAATGCATATCGGAAGTACTCTGGAGGGAAGCACTGGTGAATATGAACAGCATCTGCCACTCCATGACAATAAAGTGCAAGACTACAGCCATCAAGTGTGCAGTGGCTGTAGAATGACTACCGTGGTATCAGCAGAAGCCTCGCTTGGATTGATGTGCAAATAAATCGATTCAGCTGAGGTCCTGATTTCGTACTCTACCATGGGCAAGAGGACCACGCCAGATCTTGGGATCCACTTGGAGTTACACAAGCTCATGGGCATGCCCCTGTAGTCTGCTCATCTGATACACCAAGCAGTTGATATGCAAATCATGGCATTATTTCTGTGTTGCATCCGGGAATGACCAGTTAAAATGGAAGAAAACACAAGACTAGGTAAGAACATCAACAAAATTCGAAAGGAATAACTGTCAATGCAGTACAGCATGCTGACAGACCTCATACCAGGCAATTGTGGAAGTCCCTTTTGACTACACCTGCCCCGTCGACAGACTACCGCCTTTGAAACGACAAGGGAAAGATGGGTACCTCCATGCGCTCATCGTTGACTTGGCTTGTAGGGGTGTGCTCAGTGCCATAACGCCTGGCATTCAATAGTTCCATCTAACCAAGCGTGAAGCATCGAGCCCACCTGGCAGGCATCGATTCCCTTTGCAGAGTGAATGGCAAGGAGGTACAATTGGCAGTCCTATCGTGGGTACAAACTTGAGATCTTTTCTACCCAGAATTGTGCAGTAAAGCCCACAACCGCAACAGGCATATCGCAAAACAGAAGCCAACATTCAGCAACAACAAACTCCACTAACAACCACACACCTCCCTCTGGACCGACACAAACTTCTCCCCGTCCAGCCACACGTCGTAGTACGCCCCCGACTGAGGCGCCAGCAGGTCTGCAATGTCCTTAGCGTACTGCGTAGCGTAGGCGTAGTCCGGCCGATTCTTGTATGGCGCCGGGGGCGACAGCACGTTGCGGTTGTTGTCGCCGCACGCGCCCAGGGTGGAGCCCATGTTCTTTATGACGGTCGAGAAGACGGTCTTGAGGTCCTCTTTGAGCACGCCGTGCAGCTGGAAGGTCTGTCTCGTCGTCAGGCGCAGCGTGCCGCTGCCGTACTGCGGAACGCACAACCGGAGGCGTCGGTTTCAAGAGCGGGGCAACCCCTTTTAAAAAGGCGCAGCAGGGAGCAAACATTTCGAAAACTGGCCTACTGGACCGCACCGGTGGCGCAAGTCTTGGGGATGGGAAGAGGAGGGGGGATGGCGATGGTGCGCTTCGGCGCATCCAGGCCCCTTGGGCCAATGAAGCGATTTCGGGCAACAGAGTGCGGGTGACGGTGCGGTCGTTGGGAAAAGGGGCCCACTTGGTTTCGCCGCGTGGTGGGGGTCTCGCCACCGACAAGCGCGTCGCACCCAAGCCATTGGACCGCAAAAGAACCAAGAGTACAAAGCGCTTTAATTCGACAGCTGCAATTTTGGCCCTGCGCCCAGAACACGGCGAAACGCGGACGACAAGCGGCGATCACGCCCCCCAACTGCCAATGGACTACGTGTGCTCCGTGTGTGCCCTTCACCATACGTGGCCACCAATAGGAGCTACCAAATGGGCGTCCAAGCCAAACAGTTCTGCGCAATGCTTGAAGACCGAACGCGAGAAGAGGAGCAAGAAACGATGCGTGGACTCAAGGCAGCACCGGGGACCATGGGCAGCCAAACCAATCCATGGTCTCAATGGATCGGATCGGAACAGTGGGGTTTGCCTGCAGGTGCCAAGCCCACCTGATCCGCCAGATCGTCCATGACGACGTACAGCTGCCAGTGCACCAGCCCCCCGGGCTGCCTCGTGCGCATCATGAACTGGTAGAACTTTCCCTGCCCGAAGGCCCGCTTCTCCCTGTGGTCCTGTTGGTAGCTCCCGTGGAACTTCATCAGCTGCTGCGCCTGCTCGTTGATGAACGTCTTGTCGCTGACCAGCTCCTCCATCAGGGGGTGGCGCAGGAAGTCGCTGCCCTCCTTGATGATCTCCACCTTGCTGCGCCGCGCGGGCTTGGCCGTGGGGGGCTTGGAGGGGGTCGCGACCGCGGAGATCCGAAGCGATGCCGGGCTCCTGGCGCGGTCGATCGTGAGGCCGGGCTGGGCAAGAGGCGTGCCCCGCATCGCTGTGGCCATCGTGTCCATGGCGGGGAGGCAGCCCCGTGGGGCCACTGCTGGGGACGCCTTTCCACGGACGAGCTGTGAGGCTGTGTTGGGGGGGTGGGGGGAGGGGTAGAGTCTGGAATGAGGGATGGCCTGTGTGTTTGGAGAGAGCGCCAGCCTTGTAGCGCGGTGGTGACAGGGGGGATGTTGCGCTGAGGCAATCGATTGAGGACAATCGGGGCATCGGGGCGTGATCCTTTCCTGATGAGCTGCGGACTGGCGTAATGCCTGCAACCATTGCCCCAACCACTTCCTCAAGGGGTACTTTGAGCAGCAAGTGGCAAAACAATCCTGGAAGCAATTCACCAATGTACATGCAAAAAGCACGCAAGTACCAACCTCGATTGAGGTTGTCAGCGATTATCCTCAGTCATATTGCAGCAACGCCCCTCGTTCTAACGTTCACCAAACAAACGGTCCAACCAACGTTCACCAAATTCACCAATGTTCGGTCCATCCCTTCGCGGCACGAAGACCAACACATGTGCCAACCTGGCGTACGGCTCTGTAGCACTGTCCCTGACACCCTCGTCGTTCCGGTGCAGGTCTGGTGAAATGGCGTTGTGTGCCAACACGCGCATGGCCACGTCTTCAGACTGCACGCTGGGCCGCATCCTGGGCCCAACGGGTGCTCGCCATCTACCAGGAGACCGTTCTTAAGCCATTCCCTCGTTGCTCTTGTCTCCTGGACATCAGACGAAAGGGTACTAGTCAATGTCGTGAACAAATGTCATTTCAAATTGGCACGAGGGCCCACTGATCCCGGGTGCCATGCACATGACTTACCCTGCTGGGATTCGCAATGCAGGGCTCGACGTTGTTCCATACAGCTTATTTTCTCCTATTTTGTCTCAATATCGTGCACGACAGCATAGGGCAGTTGGATTAGTGCCATCCACAAAGCATCGGTTGTATTACGTCACATGAGGAACGTGCCAATCTAAATTAGGAATTTGCTCCATAGCGTGACCTTAATTTAACAGGTTCTTTTGTTGAATTCCTTTTTCATAGTATCCCCTACAGAGGGCCGCTGGCTGCGCACAAGCTTGCCTCGTCATGCCCTCAGACATACCACATAATTTCATTGTTACAGGTAGGCATAGTGCATGGTGTGTCAGCATGGCCTAGTTTAATTCAACCCAGGACCCTTTTGGTACACTGTAACAGCATCCTCTCCTTGTTGATTCCCGACCCATTTCTTCCAGAAACACATTTCCAAAGCACTGGTCCGAAATTCGGTCTCCAAATTTGGAAGGCCGCTAAGGGGCTAGGTAGAGCCGGTGTGCACAAGGGGAAGGCAATGTTCTTTCCTTCCTTTCCTTTCCTCATGAGCTTCTGGGATTGAGTGGACATGTGGACACGGACAAATGATTTGGAACAGGCACTGTGGGGACTTACTCCCATGGTCGTCTATCAATGCCGTGCGAGGGCTGTGCTCGTCTGCTGCTGACGAACGGAATCAAAGGAATCTTAGTGAGTGCCCTCCCCATCTGTTGCAGGTTATTGGCCGCGCACCCTGGGAGATGTCATTCCACTCAGAGATGACTTCATAGACAGCCCCGCCCGCCAGTTCTGCAGCAATCCTTACAACTATCCAGCGACCTCCTCGTGAGGCTGGGGTTCCAATAAGTGACAAAAAAGAACTTCTCACTCGGCTTGTTTTTCTGTGCATGCATTCTCCCTGCAGTGCACGTCGGGAGCGTCATTAGAGATCTGGTACAGGAACTGCAAACCAAAGGATGAGCAGGCTCAACTGTTGCATATCACAAGAGAGCGCAGGCAAATTTGTGCAATTGCGTTTGTTCAATTCCAAATCTAATTTCCATTCCAGACACTTGATCAAGACACAAGTTATACACCAATGCACTCAGCCAGAAGATGAACAGCAAGTGTTGGTGAAAGCCAGTAGAGGCTGTGGACGATGCCAGCTTCACCGCAGATGCGATAGCAGCATTCTAAGTGGATCCATCCAATGGAAGCTTTGGGGCACCCTGCCGTCCAGTCGATCTGGCCAGGTCGCAGCAGGGCAGGGCCATAAATTAGGACCTGTTGCTCGTTTTCATGAGGATTATGACCTCCAATCCATGCATCTCGCTCAGCAGCTTGTCAAGGGCCTGCATCCTCTTGTATCTGCCACCCTGTTGGTAGTTCACCTGGAATAGCCCTCAGCATCGATGTCATCCACACACCAACCACAGTGCATTCTTCCGCAGTAAAACACATGTTGCGTTGAGCTTGGAATTCAGTTGAATTGGTTTAGTTATTGCACCAGCTGGATTCGTGCCACTGCAAACCCTTCTGTAAGATGCTCATAGTCTTGACCCTTGTGGTCGCTCCAGAAGCCAGTGTGTTCTGAAATCAGACACTGAAGGAGCAAAAAGACGGCAGCTTCAACAGGAACAGAAACAGTGCAACATGAAATGTTGTTGTGCCCAACAATCTACACTCCAGAGAACAGCCCCGTTCAGCCTCAGGTTCAACCATGACCACCACGGCGGCAGTGTCCATGGCCATACTGAGCTGAAGAACACGCGATGGCACTGGTTGCCAGGAATTGTCTTCAGGCTGGGCAGTACAGTGTCAATGTGTGGCGATTTTAGCAGAAAGGAAACACATTACGTGATGAGAACACCCACCCAGTACAAGTATGTGCCTTTGCTCAACAGTGCAGCCAAGGGTTTCCCCATTGCGCTTGTACCTCTATGGCACTGTTGATGAATTTGTGGACTTGTGATGCACTGACACCAACGATGCCCATCAGGAGTTCAGACCCCAAGATGAAGGAGGGGGAAACTAGACACCCCTACAACGGCATTGGCAGGAATGTCTTGCCAGCACTAGTGGTCTCCGAATGAATTTCAGGACGTGACACCCATCGCAGTGAACCGATCCAGCTGCTACAGCACCTCCACAACCTGGGTCCCACGGTGTGAGGTGAAGGAAGTGCTGCACCTCTTGGTAATGTACAGAGGCGTATGGACAATCTGACAGTGTCTTGCACAGTGCTGGATGGTGGCAAGCCAGCATTCCTCGCGAACCAGAGGGGAATGTGGAAACTGATGCCACCCTCGTGCGATACTGGGTTTCTTCAACAGATGCTGGTTCTACGTGCAAAATATTTGGCCAATTCGATTTCAAAACACACATGTATTATGTGTTCCTTCAGCCCAAGATGCGCCCAGATGCACAATTCAAAACATCACACCTGCAAGATATTGCTCTTGGCATCCTTGTAGTCAGCAACGTCCTCAAACGTCCTGGCCGTGTTGGGTACCAGCCTGAACTTGGCCTTGGCCTTTCCGTAGCTCACGGGGTTGACAGAGCCCACACACATGCCACCCTGAGAAATGCTTCAGGTGGCACGGTCCGTTGACAAGCACAAGGCAGATTGCAAGGTTTCCTGCACACATGCATGGGAACGCAGTTACTACACGCCCAAAAGACAAACACTGCAAAAGTCTGTGGGGAAGATTGTTGCAAGTCGCATTACCTATAACATCTTGGCACTGTTATTGTAGTCCTGTTCGTCAGCGATGACAGTCTTGACTGGTAGGGACGCACCCGTCCCTTGCTTCTTCGCCACTCCATACTGTTGACAGTCTGTCGATAAATTACAAGACATGTTTTGTGTCAAACTGCCAACAGAGCATGCAACAGTTAGAGCAGGAAACAGAATAAGGCAGGGATAGACATAGAAAAGTGGAGAAGGAAATGAGATTAGATTGGAAAGCGGGGCACAACGAGGGGGTGACCAAGAAACAGGTAATAGGAGAGAGCAGACAGAAAGAGAAACAGGCCAAAGGTACTGTACCATTTCCATCGCATTAGTGGTGGCTAGGATCTTCACACTCAGAAAAATGATGCTCCCATCCTCATTGACTGTGTGGGCAGCAAAGTCGACGTTGTGTGGCTGAGCTTGGTCACAGGCGCTGGGCTAAGGGCCAGCGGCTCCACCCCAACCCTCTGGAACCCATTGGATTCGGTTGCTTAACATCTCAATGCCTGGATCTCTGCGCTGTGCGAAGGGACAGTGGGGATCTTGGTACGGTCGCTTTTTCTTTGCTGTTTTCTCGACATTTGACACTTATGTCCTGGTGAATATTCGATCTCATGTGTGCATGATTCCCAGGCTCGCTTTTCCTGGATGACCCACTGTACTTTGTGTGCTTGGGTTTAAACTCAGCGGTATCGGCGTCGTTTTGAAGCTGTGGCGGAGGGCAGAAGGGCAGACTGGTGAGCAGGGTACTGCAGAAAAACAGAAAGAAATTGTTACCTAAAGAACTCAATCTGATTTCAGCCAAGCCCATTGTTGGTACATGCTGGATCCACACTACGGGATACACGCTGTAGGTTTAAACAGGCTGCGCAGGCGTGCTCGACGGCGGGGCTGAAAGGAAGGGAGGTACACATAGGAGCCCCAATCTTGTTCACAAGAACATGTGTCCACAATCCCCTTTGCCTGGCCAGTTCTGAGTTGTAAAATAACACAGCCCAAACACTGCCCCTCAGGTCCTCACCTCTACTCTTCAGTCGCTCATTTCCACTTGTGCTCGCTGGACGCATGCATCCATGGCAACTTCGATCTCTGATGAAGCCCCCATCCACAGAATTCAGATGCCTTCCAAATGGCCTCCAGGAGATGCGCGCCCAGAGGGAGGTGCGCCCACCCGTGAAGCGGCAAGACTTGAGAAAAGTGCTTGAAAGAGCCAAGGCCATACCCCTGGGAACAGCCCACCGAAAAGACTTGGGCTTTGTCCGGCGCACACCCTGTGCGACAAAGAGTGACGACCGCCTGATGGGACGTCATGGCATGCCAGGACGATCCTCAAAAGCACCTGGCAACGGTTGGTTGAGTGGCGCAATCCAACGGGAGAGGCGGCAAGGTGGGACGACGACAGCCGATTCTGCCCCTGGCACCGACAGCGGCGTTTGGGAAGGTGTGCGCGCCGAAGTGGACGCGACTGGGAGGTGTGATGACGTAAGCGGCGGGGTGTGTGCGCAGAAAAAACACTGGCGGTGCGCTTTGGTCACCCCCCAAGTCGTCGGTTGGCAGTTTTGAGAAAAGGCACCATCGCTACTTCCGTCTTCGAGGTGCGCGGCTGTCGTTCGGAGGCGTCCAGCGGGCACGTTGCAAGGACGCCGTCGCGACGGCAGCCAAGGCCTTCGGTTGGTCCGGATGCGAGTTCCCTGTGGTGCACCTGCGAGGCGATGTCGGGGATGAGTTGATTGCACGATGTCCAAACATGATCGCGATAAACGCCGAGGCGCGTGTGAGGCCGTGGGGGGGCGGGGCGGATTGAGGGGCGCAGCGTGCGAGGCTGGTTCCGCCGGAGCTGGAAGGGCGAAGTGGATGGATCAGCGATCGGAAAAGCATGGGCGCGGCTGGGGATTGGCAGCCGGCCGCCTCTGCGGCAGCCAGGCTGCCCACCCGTTTGGGGACCATTCGTGGCGGACAACGAATTGGAAAGGCGCGGAATCAGGTGCTTACTGCTGCATCAGCCGAGTGGGGGCGACAGCGGTGCAAATCGTTGTGTCCAAATCCAGCATCTCAACGAGCAGGATCTCCTTGCATCTCAGGTATTATCTGGACTGAAGAGAAACACAATCTCAATCCATACTAGGGCTCAATGTCATCCACCTGGACAAGAATAAGGCAATGGATTGCTATGTACACCTGGATAGGGAAGTCGCAAAGCAGGGCTGGGGTTCTTACTATTCCATCAACCCCAAGTAGGCAATAGTACTGCAAAGTGATGTGTCTCAATCCAGCAACTCACTGAGTGAATGCAAAACTATGAATCTCCATTTGAATGTGATGCTTTCGCAGAGTGGCAATGACCTGGCTGGTCTGTCATTGTCATTTGATGCCAAGCTGCGATATTCTGCACACCTGCAAGGCAAAAGTGAAACCATGTGCAGCACAACGGAAGGCTGGGTATAATGATGCATCTGGGGCTGGTTGCAGTGGGCGTGTGGAGTTTGTTGATGACAAGACTTGATGTGTATGTGCATGATTCTGTGGAGAGTGCTGTATATAGTTGTACAAATCAATACTCGTGGAACAGACACATTGCCATGCAATTCGATATGTTGCTACAATATCCTCCTTCAACTATGAGCAACATGCTTTTGGCAACAGATGTAAGCCCATACCCACTGCGTTGATCGAGTGTGACCATGAGATTGTCCTTTTACCAACAAAGTGACAACAGCGATTGCAGTAGCTACAATTGTTTGCTATTTGTGGGAACATCAATTTCGAGATCTCACTCTGAGAATAGATTTAGATGTAAAAATGGGCAGTGCAAAAATATATCCCAAGTACCTTTGGCAGTCACTGGGTAGGCAAGATACAACATTGTTAATTGGGAATTGCGACTCAATTCTGATAGTATCTGGGAGCCAAGCCTTTACTCCTTGCCCACCTTGGCTTTCTGTATTGCAAAGCGATGCCAAGAAGAGGGTTTGAGAATGTCCATAGTATGGAGTCCACATGCCAAGCAGAAATGCAAACACTCTTTTTGTTGCATTACCAGCACTTGCATCAATTCCTTTTAGAGTCAAGAAACCAATGAAGGCATCCCTGAATTGTAGAATAAACTTGGCTGCATTTGACTAGTTGACTAGTCAATCCATCGTAGTCTAGGTGGTTGGGGCCACCGGGTTCTTGGCTTTCACCAAGCAAAAGGGAAGGGAGGGGAAGAGGGGAGGTGATCACCTCATGAGGAGGGAGGCAAGGAGGGGAGGAAGGAGGGTGGAGTAAGGAGGAAGGAGGGAGGAGGAAGGAGGGAGGAGGAAGGAGGGAGGAGGAAGGAGGGAGGAGGAAGGAGGGAGGAGGAAGGAGGGAGGAGGAAGGAGGGAGGAGGAAGGAGGGAGGAGGAAGGAGGGAGGAGGAAGGAGGGAGGAAGAAGGGGAGGTGATGATGGGGGATGGAGGAGGAGGAGAGGGGAAGGTCATGGGGGGATGCCAAATTCCCCTTTGCCTTCAAAAGGTTTGATGCCCTTCTGTGTTGGCATCAATGCGGGCTTGGAAGAAAGCCGCCATGCTCTGAACCGACTACAAGAAACAACAAGAAAACTTTAGGTGCTTTGGTTGATACCTGTTGATATCAGGGACAATAATGTGCAAGTGCATGTAAACATCAATGCCCAAACATCATAATACATCATGGGAAGACCAATGCATTTTGGTGATTGCCTACCGAGGAGGCTCCATTGAGGTTTACGTCATTCGGTGAAGGTGCAGGAGTGTTGCTGGGTGGATCGCACGGTGTCTCCGCAACCGCTGCTCCAGTCGATGCTTGGGCAAGTGCCCTAGTGGTGGATGTCGCAGTGGGCAGGTGGGTGGTTGAGATGGTGCGTGGGCCAGCGGTTGGGTCATTGGGCAGGTTAGTGGATGCATTGGCTTGTGTCTCTGTAGTTGTACCATTGGATGCATCAGGAGGCGCCTCAATGAGTGTGGTGGGGGATGTATCATGGGTTGTGTTGGTGTGTGTGTCGGAGTGTGTGCTGGAAGTAGTGCCAGAGTGTGTATCATTGGACGGGGCATTAGAGGGGGCGTTGGAGTGTTGGTAGTTGATTGGGTCAGTGAATATGTTGATCGATGGTTTGTGGGATGTGTTGGGTGTGTCGCTAAACTTCGCACCCCTGCATGCAACAAGAAGCATGTTCATTGCAAAGTTGGGTTCTAGTTGTTCAAAATTTAGTGCACAATTGCATGCACATCATTGCTTGTGGCCATTCATTCAATCGATGGTGAGTTTGAAGGGTCAATATTGAATCTACCTATTGGGCAACATGCCAACAATCTACCCCAAAGCAACACAAATCGATGTGCAATAGCACTGTGGCCTATTGGTGCTCCAAGGTTCATGAATAGCGAAGATTGCCAAAGATCAGCAAATGAACATACCAGAAACAATAACAAGCTCTGTACCTGGAGTTGGGCATTCTAGCTTGAAGGGCAAGCTCCTTGAGGTGCACATCCCTCAGGATCTGTCCCTGCAAAAGGGCTCCCGTTGGTAGTCCTCTAAAGGCTTGCAACTCCAGGATCGCCTCGTCTGCTGCATGTTCTAGCTCCATAGCAGACAACGGCGTTGGGAGGCTGCAGATCATCGAGCTTCGCATTAGATAAGCATCGTATATGCT